AGTTGGAGAGACTATGCTCCTTAGAGGATGGAGAAGGCATGGTGAGCCTTCGGTGTCATACCATTAACGAATATTGGTTAGGTGCTAAGGATGGAAAGGGTAATACATGTTGGTGTTACTTTATAAAAATGGTTTACTGTTCGATGAGGATATTGAACTTCGTTTATGGGTGGTGGAGTTGTGAGACACAAAATCCCTAGGCCCCAAAGTGGAGCCGAAAGGGTGCCATGTGGTAGTGGCCAAAGCGAAAGCCAAACGAACATAACACGTTTGGACTGAAAGCTCTAACTTGAAAGGTTGAGAGTGGGAGTGGAACTCCCAACAAAGAGCTCGAGGAACAAGCACGAAGCGAGCAATAAGTGAGGCTCCAAAAAAGGACCCAAAAGAACCAACACATGACATGTGGAAGAGTCCGAGATGGACCCGAGTTGAAGTCCGAAATGGAGTCCGAGATGGAGTCTGAGATGGACCCGAGTTGGAGTCCAAGATGGAGTCCGAGATGAAGTCTGAGATAGACCCGAGGTGGAGTCCAAGATGGAGTTCGATATGGACTAAGATAGAGTCCAAGATGGACCCGAGATGGAGTCCGAGATGGAGTCTGAGATGGACCCGAGGTGGAGTCCGAGATGGACCCGAGATGGAATTCGAGATGGAGTCTGAGAAGGACCCGAGATAGAGTCCGAAGTCAAGACCGAGACCGAGACTGAGACTGAGATCGAGACTAAGACCGGGACCGAGACCAAGACCAGGACCGGGACCGAGACCGACGCCAAGGCTGAGACCGAGCCCAAGCCCGAGTTCGAGTCCAAGTTTGAGTCCGAGTCCGAATCCGAGTCCGAGTCCAAGTTCGAGTCTAAGAGGGTGAAAGCCCAAAGTGTTCATCTCCCAAACCCTGGGGGGTTTGGTGAGCTCCAAAAGTATAGTAAGGGGGAGGACTACAGTGGAGCCAGTTTGGCCAGGAAAGGCTAGTTTGGCCCAGGAAGGCTATACCCAGTGTTGGGTGATGAGTTGCCCACTAGGAAGTCCAAGACTAGAGTGAACACGGACCGACAAGCGGGGTGGCTTGGTGAAGTGTTCAAGAGCCTGCTCTAGTTCCCCTGGGAGATCGACTGGCTGATGCTCCCAATCCAAGTGTGGGTGGCACTACCTACTTGGATACCAGGCGTGGCTCAACGGAACCTCGCTCTAAGCCCATGGCTAGAGCACCTAAAGGCGGAAGGCAGGGAAAGTACCCACGAGGCTCATGTAATGCCACGATGTTCCGAAATGTTGCCCCAAGGTCCCAGACTGTGAAAAGGAAGTGGAGCCGTCCTATAGTGTAGAGACCAAGGATACGGTCATGTGAGGAGGAAGTCCCAGAGGACCGTGGGACTTAGTGGTCAGGCTTGTGGGCCTTGATCCAGTAGCAGTGTAGACAAACACGACCATGGGCAGAAAGGGACTTGGTGGGGAACGGAAAGGGGATATTGAGGAAGGATATCCCCTATGTCTATGGGCATCCTAAGGGTGCTAAGGAGTGGATCTGGGATGATCACTCATGGATGGATAGCCTAGTCTTTGAGAGACGGGACTATGATGTAGGTGGTGTCAGACCACCGATGTGACCAAGGTGAATGGGCATGGCCTTAGCGTAACGGGTTGATATGTCAATGGTACCTTGGGGTGTCAGTCATGGGATCAGACACGTGGAGCACTTGGACCAAGTGCAAAGGTTAAGTGGCGGGAATGCCATTCTCGAGGTTAGCAAGCCCAAGTCCAAAATAGGACTTATAGAGGTTGTGAGTGAGACTTCTCCAAGTGGTCGAAGGTGTGGTTAAGTGGCTAAAGTAGAATGGAAAAATTAGTCGTTTACAATGTTGTAACAATTGACCGGCTTATGAAGGAGTATGCTTATCTCTTTGAATTTGACTTATCATTTAGAGCCAAGATTGCCACATGTCATCCGATTTTAAGTAAAGATGCTTTTCCAATCAAAGTCCCTATTTGTCGTAGGTTACCCAAAGAGATTAAGATTTTACATGCAAATGTCAAGAAGATGTTACAAAAGGGTGTTATTTGAAAGTCATGAAATCCTTGGGTATGTGAACCTCATTTTGTGATGAAGCCTCATAGGAGTATTTATTTCTGCATTGACTTTCATCCGTTAAACGAAGTAATGATCCCAAATGTATACCATTTTCCTCACATAGTTAATCTCTTAGATCGTTTTGGGAGAAATTGTTAGTTCACCAAGCTAGATCTTGCTTTTAGATACTATTAAATATCAATGGCCAAAGAAGATATTCCTAAGACTGTTTTTCATATATCGTTTAGTTTGTACAAGTTTTTGGTGATGCCGTTTGGTTTGAACAATGCTCCAACGACTTTCCAGTAGATAATGGATGAGGTTTTTTGCAATATGCCAGAGGTGATTGCTGACTTCATCAATAATGTTTTAATCCACTTGGAGGGGATATAAGAGGAACATATCCATGATATTTGTAAAGTGTTATATCGACTACGAGAAGTTGGTTTAAAGTTGAAGTAGTCGAAATGTGTGTTTAGGTTCAAGGACACGACTTATCTTGGGTACTATATTTCTCGTGAAGGTTTGTAAGTTGATCCTGACAAACTTGTGGCTAATCTAAAGTTCCCTACTCTGAAGTGTGTGAATGATGTGCAGCGCTTCCTGGGCAAGGTGTAATATCTCGGTCGTTTTGTGGATTATCTTTCTAATCGCACAACACTGTTGTAAGCATTGCTAAAGTCATTTTTCATTTGGTCTGTAAACTATGAGCAAGCGTTTATAGATTTCAAGGAGTTATTGACGACTCCTTTGGTTTTGGTGTATCTTGACTACACTTGATTTTTTATTTTGCACATAGATGTTTTTTATATTGGTCTTGGAGGTGTGTTGATGCAAGAGAGCCTAAATGTGCTTAGTTAGCACCATCCCATTGCACATTATAACTAGCGGAGGTGAACTACTCCACGACAAAAGAGTGTTTAGCAGTAGTTTAGGGTTTCAAGAAATTTTATTTATATCTACATGGTTCTAGGATATTACTAGGTGATCATACTGTCGTTACTTCATTATTGAAGTAGAAGAATTTGGTTGGTCGTATTACTCAGTGGGCTTTGAAGCTTCAAATACATAATTTTCATGTTGTTCATCGCCCGAGGAGTTTTATGGCTGATGCTAATGGCCTTTTTCGAGCTCTTCTTTCTTCTTCACTCTCTTCTTATGTTTTTTATAAGCTTGTTGTTCCAACATTTGTGGATTTTCTGAACAAAGATTTTATGTTGTCAATGGTTGTTGTACTTGATTTTCAGTGTCTATAAGGTGTAGAGCAAAATTTACCTTATCTTGATGAAGTTTGCGAGGCTCAAAAGATTGAGCTATAGATTCGAATGCTTTGATATGGGTTTGAGAATTTTGCATCACTTACTAATGACTTATCATTTCAGCATTTACATTCTCAACATCACCTTGAAGACGACTTTCTTTATTTTGTGAGGACGGATCCTGATGATCATTTACAGTTAGTGGTGCCTTCAATTTTTATTCCATAGTTTCTTCATGCCTACCATAATTCTTCTGTTCTAGGTAGGTATATAGGATATCATTGTATGACCGAGAAGTTACATAGGCTAAAGATGCAATGTGATGTTATCCAGTATGTGCGTAATTGCATTTGGTGCCAAGCTTGTTATACTCCCCCTTGTGTTGTGGAAGGATGGTTAGAGTCAATTATAATTTCTCATTTGTTTGAGTTGGTGGTGTTTGATTTTATGGGACCTTTTCCACGATCAACTGTTAGCAATGAGTATGTTATTATGCTTCTAGTTATTTGACTTGCTGAGTGGAAGTTGGTGCTTTTATGAGTGCCTTTGCAACTATTGTTAGATACTTCATCCTCAATCAAATGGTGTTTCAATATTTTTGTCTAGAGCGTATTCTTTTGGATAATAGTCCCGTATTTATGGTTGAGGCATTTCATGTTTCAATGTCTTGGTTGAGGATAAGCCACACTTTCACGAGTGCTTATCATCCGTAGTTAAACAGTTTGGTGAAATGGCTCGTTCGGTCATTCAAAGGGATAATCACAAAGTACATAATCTTTCAACACTTGGATTGAGATGGTTATTTGCTGTCTCTTTAGTGTGTATATATCACAGGGGTGCAAAGTTTTGTTGATGCTTCATTATATAAATTCTTATATGGTCATGATCCAATATTACCAACAGAGTTAGGTTTACCTTCACGATTATCATGAGCTGCCAATGCTAAATCGTGGGATCAATATTTGACGAGCATTCTTCCGCTTGTTCGAGCAAAGTTTACTGAACACTTGGGCTGTATATAAGTGGGGCAACAACTGCATTACAACTCTCATCATTATCCACTTATGGAGTACAAAGTGGATGACTTGGTATTAGTCTGTTTCCTTATTATATAGTACATGATTTATCTAAAGGGCTCTTTGCTCAGTTAAAATGACCATATTAGGTGTTGAGGCAAGTTGTCCTGCAAGTTTATAAAGTTTAGCATAACATCTAACAGATCGATCCTTCAGAAATTGTGTATGTGCAATAATTGAAACACTTCGTATAAGGGATTAGGAACAATTAATATCACATACAAATCCACTAATGCCTCCTCTTGATGTTCCTTTAGATTTCAGCCCATTTACGAGAAAACTTTGATGATCTTTCATTATTCCAAAAGGAAAGTCCAAGTATACAGTTGTATATTAATATTAATATAGTGGGATTTTGGTAGTTGTTAGATTGGTTTTAATCAAAATTATTCCCTCTTATATATAAATTATGGTTTTTGGGATAACTGATATGCACATTTTTGTATTCCCATTCTATATTTCATGCACTCACAACTTGATTTTACATAATTGGAAAAAAGAGATTTATACATCCTATTTTTTAAAGCGTGCTTAATAAAAGAATATGCTGATTTTGAAGTAAAGCATATTCATCAAATCATAAATTAGGTTATCTTTGCTATGGAGGGTTGCCTCGGGCCTCTCCCGCTTGTCAAGGAGGTGAGCCCTGCCAAGGAGCGCATCCAGAGCCGGGAGCTGCGCCGCAAGGTCGAAGATCGCAGGCGATGGAAGGAGCTTCCGCGCGAGGAGCGCGAGGAGCGCGAGCCCTGGAGGATCAAGGGCCCGGTAAGATTCGAGGAGAAATATCCTCTGTGGAAGTTCTATCGGATTCCCGGCCTGGAGAGCAGCCTCTCCGAGGCGAAATCCGCCCTGGATTTCCCCGAGTACGTGAAATTGCTCAAGAAATGCGGCCAAGAGAGGGCTCTGATCGATGGCAAGCTCGTCCACGAGCACATCAGGGATCACGCGGACGACGAGCACGACACATTCTTGGCCAATATGATCATCCAAATGTATGGGAAATGCAAAAGCCCGGAGGATGCCCGCCAGGTTTTCGATCGAATCAAGCAGCGCAACGCCTTCTCCTGGAGCATCCTTGTCGAGTGCTACGTCCAGAACGCTATGTACCAAGAGGCACTGGAAGTTTACAAGGAGATGGTGAGAGAAGAGATCTCCATCGACGCTTACACCCTCTCCAGCGTCCTGGCGGCATGCACGAAACTTTTGGACGTGGAAGAAGGGAGAATGGTCCAGCGAAAAGCCGAGGAGCTTGGATTTGAGAAGGACGTGGTGGTAGCCACGTCTTTGATCCATCTCTTCGCGAAGTGCGGGTGCCTAGAGGAGGCCGAGAGCGTCTTTCGGTCCATGGGAGCTATGCGAGACATTATCTCGGTGACTGCCATGATAGGTGCGTATGTTCGTCATGGCAAGAACGATTTGGCTCTTGATACTTACTGGAAGATGCGATCGCAGGGGCTGGAGCCAGATGCTTTCACGTACGCAGCAATCCTTGGAGCTTGCTCCAGTCCGGATTTTCTGCTCGACGGCAAGCACATCCACAAGCACATACTTGAGAGCAAGCACTTTGGAAACATAAGTGTGAGAAACGCTCTCATCACCATGTATGCAAAGTGTGGCAGCTTGAAGGATTCCAAGAGCTTGTTCCTCACCATGGATGTCAAGGACGTGGTAAGCTGGAATGCGATGATCGCTGCTTACACTCTCTATGGACATGACAAGGACGCGTTTTCTTTGTTCCACAGGATGTGCACGCTGGGCCACACTCCGGATATCTACACTTTCTCCAGCATTCTGGGAGCGTGTGCGAGTCCCAAGAGGCTGGAAGATGGGAGAATGCTACACGTAAGGATCACTGCTAGGGGGTTTGACAGGGACTTTGCAATGCAGAACAATCTGATAAGCATGTATACAAGGTGTGGGAGTTTGGAGAGCGCACGGAGGTACTTTTACAGCATCGAGAAGAAAGAACTCGGAGCTTGGAACACGATGCTCGCCGCTTATGCACAGTTTGATAAGGGGAAGGACGCCTTGTTTCTCTATAAGAATATGTTACTCGAGGGCTTCACTCCTGACAGGTACGTGAAATACCTTCTATTTTTTTTCCTTCTTTCTGACGGTTCATCGTTTGCTTTGCATACAGGTTCACGTTTTCCAGCGTGGTAGACTCGTGTGCCAGTCTGGGAGCCCTCAGAGAAGGAAAATTTATCCACGAATGCAGCACTTCCTGTGGTTTCGAGAAGGACGTCATTCTCGGAACAGCACTGGTGAACATGTACGCCAAGTGCGGAAGCCTGGCCGACGCAAAGAAATCCTTCGATGGCATTTCAAACAAGGACGTGGTTTCGTGGAGCGCAATGATCGCTGCAAGCGCTCAACACGGCCACGCCGAAGAAGCCTTGGAGCTCTCGCACCTGATGAACTTACAGGGGATAGCACAGAACGAGGTGACCGCTTCAAGTGTTCTTCACGCCTGCAGCCACGGTGGACGACTGTACGAAGGGATCGACTACTTCATGGGTTTAAGCCAGGACTTCGGCATAGAACGAGACGAGGAAAACACGGTCGGGTTTATAGATCTTCTGGGACGAGCAGGGTGGCTGAAAGAAGCGGAGCATGTGTTACACACGATGCCATTCAAAGTCAGCTTCGTGGCCTTGGTGACGCTGCTGGGTGGCTGTAAAGTTCATGGGGACGTGAGGCGCGGCAAAGCTTTTACCAAGAGGATCGTGGCGCTTGAGCCGGAGAATCCAGGCTCTTACGTACTGCTCAACAATATGTACGCTGCCGCTGGAAGATGGGATGATGTTGCAAAGCTGAGGAGATACATGAGGAAGAAAGGAGTCAAGAGGCAAACAGGCTGCAGCTCCATCGAGTACAGGGACAAAATCTACGAGTTTTCAGTGGGAGATACATCAAACCCACGGAACTTGGAGATCCGGGCGGAGCTTGAGCGTCTTTACTCTCGGATGAAGGAGGAGGAAGGATATGTTCCAGATACCAGGGACGTTTTCCACGACGTGAGCGATGACAAGAAAGAGGAGCTGCTCAAGTTTCACAGCGAGAAGATGGCCATGGGTTTTGGGTTGATCACAAGCCCGCCAGGATCGACGCTGAGGATCATCAAAAACTTGAGGGTGTGCTCGGACTGTCATACTGTTGGGAAACTGGCGTCGAAGATCACAGGCCGGCGGATTATTGTCCGAGATGGAACTCGGTTTCATCACTTTGAAGGTGGGATTTGCTCCTGTGGAGACTACTGGTAACAAGATATTCTCTTTGCTTACTTAGAATCTGGGAAAGTTGAAGTTCTTGAGGCTGACTTGTTTGTGGTGATTGCATCGGTGACCATATGGGAAATGTGGCAGCTTGGAACGTTCCAAGGACGTTTTTGATCGAAGCAACTCGAGCATGATCGTTATATCCAGCATTCTCGCTTCGCGCAGGCTCTGGGATGATTTGCCAGATGCAATTGGAAGGTGTTGCAACAAACAAGGTGACTTTCATCTCAATTGCTGGTGGAATCGTCGACGAAGGTAAGCTTATCTATGAGCTTGCCAGAGAAAGTACACTTGCTTTGGATGGATATTGTCGTCAGGATCGGGATGTTTTCTACGTTCGCTTTTGCGAGATGTTGTTTTGGCTTCTACAAGGTTTGTTACCAGATTTTCTTTTCTTTTTTTGCTTTGCGGAGTGTAGACTCTGGGAAACCTATTGAAGGTTGGATTCTTGAAGCACGATCGTTAGTGTGTGGAAGTTTAGAAGATGCGTTCCTGGTTTTGAGAATGGTCTGATCGATCAGTTTGTTTGATAACCTTTAGTTAAACCACAAATTCTTGGCGATACCCACTGTAAAATCACACGGTCGTTAAATAGAGTCACGTTACAGCGCGACAAGTGAAACAGAAGACTGTCATCAACACCATTTGAGACCCATCTGGAACGCTTTTAGTCAAAATATTTTGCGGATCCCGTCAACTTGATCGTGTTTAAACACGAAAACTCTGGACATCGAGTTGCTCCAACGAATGCAGCTGGAAGGAGCAAAGTGCAATTGTGGAAGCTCTCAACTCCTACGCTGCCTGTGGACACTTGCGACTGGGAGCTTTGGTACATGCAAATGCAGACGCAGCTGCCGCCACTCTCAACGCTGGCGTTGCAAGCGCTCTTCTGAGTTTCCTCGGGAAGCTTGAGACCGCTCGCGAGCTTTTCTACGAGATACCTCACAAAGACGTGTGCTCGTGGACAGCTTTGGTTTCGGCCTACTCGGACGTCGGCCGCCACCAAGCGCCCATTTCGAGTGGATGTAGAAAATGTTATTCCTTCCTGGTTCAGTTCTTCTATCATTGTGATTCTTTCGTGAGTAAATTTACTCTTCTCTGAGGCATTTTTATTTCTTCCAGTACCGTGGAGACGTCCACATCTACAACAAGATTCTCAAGATTCAAAGCAACGAGAATGCTGGTCAGGTTTGAGACCCGCAAGGTCATGAGGTTCCCAGAACCGACAGGGAAGGTCGAGGAGAGGAAGGTGAACAAGAACTGTCCAGGCAAGAGAACAGGCCTGAGGAGTTCTTACAATCTTTGGCCTACTCTAGCTAGCGTCCTTTGACTTAAGGTGGAGGAAATCGTTCCCACTATTGTCCTTAAGGCAAGATCAAGATCAAAAAGTCAAGGGAGGCTAGCTAGACTTTAGAAGTCTCGCTTTTGGTTCCCTTGAAATGAAAAGAAGCATTAAAACCAACAAGGGAATTCAACTCTTGAAATGAAAATGAGCGTGCAAAACTACCTAGGGGCTTTCCATGCTAGAGTAGTAATCTTCATTCTCCTCATCCTCGGTGCCATCTTCTTCCAATGATGACTCCTCCATGATTCCAATAGCTGACATGACACAACTCAGCTCATCCCTCCAAGGATTATGCTCAATTGAGACAATGCCACCCAAGGAGAAGCCCACAATGCTAACTTTGGGTGGTAGATCACGGTCCACAGAGACCACAACATCTGAAACCTCAAAAGTCCCATGATAAGCACCACACTGGTAAATCTCGCGCAACACTCTTGTGGCAGGCTTTTTGAGTTGGGGATATGTTCGGCAAGGAAGAGTACTATCACCTTCATCAGACATGACAATCACTGAGAACATATCCCCATTGAGGACGCCATACTCTAAGAGCTTGGGAACTCCACGACCTTGCATGGCTTTGAGCCTAGAATACATGAGAATCTCCCGGACAAACAGCATGGCAGCACCAACCTTTGAATCCGGTTGAGACATGTCCACCATCTTCACCACCACTTTCTCAGATCCTCTGTACACTGCCCTTGCCACTTTCGAAGACAACACCATTCCCTGCTGGAACTCCCTGTAAAACTCCTCAAACCTCCAAAACTTAAGCTTCTTGTGCACCTTTGCTGTGGAGATGTATGCCAACTCGCTTGCTAGGTTCTTCATGTTGCGCTTGACAAGCTTGTTGAAATCCTTGGGCAGTATCACACGTAGCATCGGGAGCTCCTCACAAATGTATGGATCATGCTGTGACTCGGTGGCATCGGCTACACCAGAGAAGATGAGATACCAAAAGTATTTCATTGGCACGTCATAGAGCTTCATGGGCTCGGCCATGGCAAAGCCATCGTGGCCATGCTTGACGCAAAACCATACATGGCGCGCACCAACAATAACTCCATAATTTGTTTCCCATTGCTGACAGTAGCAGAAAACCCTTTCCATAGCTTCTCTGAAGCGAGAACCACGTTCTAAATTCGCAACGATGTCTTGCACACCCAATCCCTCAAGCTCCAAATGAATTACTCCTACAAAACAACCCCGGGGTCTTACACTTCGATTGTTGCCTGCCAACATGATGCTAAGCTCGGGAACCAAGCGCCCTGTAAAGACCTGCGGCAACCGCTCGGAGAGTCGGCTGCCGATAACCGCCATCGCAGCTAGAGAATCCACAGGATGAGCTTGTCGATGCCGCTCAGGCACAAAAAAGACCTCCTCTGTTTCATCGATCTCTCTCGCAACAAAGCGATCGACCAGCTCATGGATGTTATTCCATACATATAGCTTGGCTGGGAATAGCTCCCGCCCTACTCCCCAATCAGCAGTGGCAATACTTCGTCCCACTGAAACGTTGCTGCTAATAAGCGGCCGCACAAACGGGCAACCAAGGAGATCCCTAGCATGTAGGAAGGGGCCATCTTCATCACGCCTTACACCACTTTTCTGGGGCACATGAAGTAATTCCAGAGCTCTACTCGCAGCTAAGCGGCTTACCCTGTATTGCACTTCTTCTGCCATTTGCCTAGGTTTCTTTTCAAAACTTAGAAATTAACCCGCCTCACAGCCGTCGGATCTCAGAGATCAGACGGCCCTGATTAAACCAACAGGCACTTCTTCTTCACCGGGTTTTTGTGGCATCTCTCTCTCTCTCTCGGGCGCGCATTGTTTTGACAAGGTACAAGGTTGTCTCTCTGCGGTGTGGAAATGTACGGTCTCTTTCCGTTTTGCGTTGATGAAATGTATGGCAAAGCCGCATCTGCTTGGCTCGCGCTCGCTTGATCAGATCAGCAAGAAAGCCCGTGCTTGTAGCTAGCACAAGGAAGCACCTTGCCTCCGGGATCCTGCCCGAGCTTTTAGCTAGCACAAGGAAGCGCCTTAAGGCCTCCGGGATCCTGATCGGAGGTCTTACAGAGGATCGTCGCGCTCGCTGAGCGGGAGCTCGAGAACGCGGTGAGCGTATGTCGGGTCTGGGGCTTCTTCCGGAGCAGCGGCAGGGCTAAAGTAGCGATCTTTCAACGCATAGTGTCTCATGGCAGCCCGGTTGCTCTAAAGGAGCGATCTTTGTTCCTGAGAGCCAATAACCAGTGTGATCGATCAATCTTGCACACGCCGAAGCTCGAATTTGAGGTTGCAACCGCCGGACGCGTAGGATCGATCAATCTTGCACACGCAGCAGCTCGGATTTGGTTGCAATCTCCGAAAAGGGGACGTGTGACGCCGGTGATCGGATGCGTTCTGGGGGTATCTAGCGCCGCCAAAAATGCCAGGAGCTGTCATCACAAGTTCAGTGCTCGTTTAGCAGCAATGCGAAGAACCCATTGATCTTGGATACTTGACTCGCTGCTCTCAATGGACTGGTCTCCGCTTCTTCGGAGATGGCCAAGATCCGAGGAAAAGACAATTAGAGAAATCGTTCTAGGACGATTGCCTCACGTCGACATTGCTCCGCAAATGAATCGATCAACGCACAAAAACAAAGCACTGAAATGGTTTCCAGGCAAAATGCGCCCCTGGTCCGAATTTGATGAGCTGAAGAAACACTTGTTGCTACTTCTTGATCCAGACTATGTAATTCGGATCCCTGCCTTCAATCAACACACTGTGCATGCTGTCCAAGAAATATGCCTACAGAGTGCACTTAGTCAAGCTTTAGAAGTGGCATCGATAATCTTACAACATGCATATGCTCTGCCATTGCAATGGAGCTCATTCAGAGCCTCCAAGGCCTCCAAGTCTCTTGTTAGTCCAGGTTTTCAAGGAATGCCGGATCATCTACTAGCTTTCGTGCTACAAGATGGGAAATGGAAACCATTGTCTCCAGGTGAGATGAAAACATGGTCAGCTCATACGAGGAATTGCATCAGAAATGGGTGCAACATCAACCCAGCCCAAAGTTGGGGAAGCGAGATCCTCATCCGTCAGGAGGTCCGTATTATCACATCATTGGTCAACTTACTGGGTATTTGCAGAGGAACAAGCTTAAATTCGGCTTTCTATCAAACTACATCAACACATGGTTTGTCCATTACGAAGAATCGAAAGACTCTAATTATGTCTCGGAAGCTCACCCTTGGACAGGAGAGGGACTTTCCTCAGCCGCAATGCTAGGCTTTGTTACCATTTCAGCTCTTTCTTTGGCATAGCTGGAAAAACGGTGAAGGTGCTTCATGTCATCGACTGCCGGCTTGGAAAATGCGACCGCTGGGCACGTCGACGGTGGCAGCCTTCGCTCGAGGAGTTTGATGAGCCATCCCTCACAACATGGAAAAGACTAGAATCTTCCACAAGAACAAAACGAAAGAAGCATATGAAATACAAGAGGGACGCCGATAGTTCCCCATCGCTGGAAAAAAAAACATAAAACGGCAACCTTTGTGATGAACTTCGGAGGATTCAAAGAAGTAGCAGCGTAAGATCCTACCTTGAGCTCCCTAGACTCCGCTCCGTCCGGAATTTTGGCCCTACAAACATCACTGTGAGACGATGCCGGCAAGCGCACCTAGAATTTATACCGAAGGCTAGGGAAAGGAAGAAAGTTTTCCAAGTCTTGAACTTACTAGGCCTAAGAACATTTGCGGAATTGACGGACTGCGTTGCTGATATCACTCCAGTGTACACTTTCGGTGATGGAAACCGTCTGTGTGGAATCTGAGACACGAAGAGAAGCAGTGATTGTGATCATAGCCGCTGCCATGTTCCTCTCAGCGTGAGAAATTAGACAAAAATACGTAAATGATCGACACCCCAAAACCAACATATTACAGTGGTTAACAAAAGGGGGTTTGGACTCGAGGTTTAAGCGGAGTATTTTCACTTCAGAGTTTCCAATAGATACCTCGCCAGTGCAAAATGCCAGAGACGAGTCCCCAGAACAGGATCTCTGCGATTAAAACGTAAAGCAGCGTTCCAACTCGCTGGGAATGCCACACGTTCACAAAAACATGCTTCTTGATCCAGTTTACCTGCGAGCAAAACATTTGAGCATCATTGGAGCTCTCGTGAGTGAGAGAAAACCAAGCGAAGAACTTCTTCATACCAGATTGTTGCTGGGATCGTGCCAGTACCAGCCATTGACGAAGGCGGCAGCGATTCCAGAGGCAGCCATCACAAACACGAACATTGCGTTGAGTCCCATCCACTGGAAGATCAAAGTCGGCTGGTTGATGCCAAAGATATCAATCTGCCATTCAGAAAGAGAGAGAGACCTGAGGATTTCGTGGCAGTAAGAAACAAAGGAGTATCTTTCGTTACCACGACGTAGAGCAGCGAGAAAATCATTCCGGCAGCTCCAGCTGTGAAGCACACGTAGCTGAAGCTGTAGAGTTGCTTGTTGAGTGGAATCGCTGAGATCACCATTCGAGAAAACTTTAACTTCGGCTTGAGAAAGAGAGATTGTTACCATGAGTGAAGTGGAGAATAGTTGCAAGGACGAGAAGCGCGGCTGCAGGGATCGTCCAGTGCAAAACTCGCTTCATATGTCCCTTCAGAGAAAGAAGGAAAAGAATATATACTAGCAAACTTTGCGAAGCTAGCACGAGTACCTTGAAGTGTATGAGGACGTGTCCATAATGGATCCCAATTATACAGCTTAGAATTGCCGAGATTGAGCTATAGACGTCGACATGGTGAGCAAGAAATATAGCAGCAAGAAAATCTCGAACCTTAAAATCCCTTCTGGTTCAAATGGAGCTTTGCACCAAGCTGGAGCATTAGCGGGAGGATCGCCTTCTGCCGGTGAATCCAAATCACAAGACTGAGAAGACAACACCAAAGTTTCCGTTGATTCTAAAAAGAATAGAATGTTCAAGTACCTGAGTTCTTGTCCACTCGGGACTTTGGTAGAGATGATTGATTCCAAGAATCGTGCGATCGATATGTCCAACTGCATTGCAAGCGGGGCCAATATCTCCTCGAACACCACATTGAACCTGATGGCGAATGAGAAAAAGAGGACATTTATTTGGGAAGAAAAAACAAACTTTGCCAGACTTACAACAAAACGATGACCCGAATCTATGAAGTGCCAGTCAGGGACGTAGAGCCCATAGGCAACCGAGTGATAGATTATAACAACAGCCAACGCGCAGGCCCTGATACCATACAAAGTTGCCAGTAGAGATATTTATACGAGATTAAGAAAACTTACCAGTGCCATTTGTAGAGCTTGAAAATTCCAAACTGGCCTTTTGGCAATTCCAACGACCGGCTCTTGGTTGTAGCGATCTCCACCAGAGCAACTATCAGGTAGCCAAAGGCAATGCGCTGGAAAATACACATCTATAGCCAAAGGAAATGAAATACAAAAGCTAAAGCTCACTTGAAGAATGCCACACCACCGAATTTTTCTCATGTCAACTCCATAACTTAGATCGTCCGGTGCGTGAGAAAAGCCACCTACAAATGAAACAAGGAAAAAGATTCACAATTTCTCATGTCAAATGTGTGAGTACCTTGAAGCAGCAGTCCCCAGAAAAGAAGCTTGAGAGTTCTTATCACGACCTTTTGTGTTGCTGCCACCTGGTCCGGGATTCTCTGCACACAAAGGAGATGGGATTAAAATCTAAAGGTCACAGTCTTAGAGGTCTACCTTTAACGCAAGAGCGATAGCTACACCCACAATGAAGAGAAAAAATGGCATCACAAGATCAGCAAGCGTGCATCCATTCCATGGCGAGTGATTGATTCTTGGCCACTCTCCACCGGCATCATCCACCAACACCATAAGCTAGAACCAAACCATCAGAAGTTAGAATTGGATAAAGAAGAGAACTTGAGAGCTCTACTTACCGCTACTGTGAGGCCACGGAAAACGTCCAGTGTAGCGATGCGAACAGGCTTCTTGAGTGGCACAGCTACTGCTTGATCCTCATTGAGAAGAGACTCTTTCTTGACATGGCGGTCTTCTTCGTGGAAGGAAATCTTGTGCTCTTTAGTGTCATGACCCTCTAATTTCTCGTGAACTTCTCCTTGCTCTGCCATTGCGCCCCAAAGCAAAGCTCTCACGAGAACAACATCCAGACACAAAACTTAAGTGAGAGCTTCTTCTAAGTTTCTCTTAGCTAACAAAAACAAAAGAAGCTGTTGACAGCATTTGTTTTGTCGAGCATACCTGTTTAGGACGGCAGTCGCTTGGAATCCGCAGCCATAACTCGTCGCCATTCTCGCGGGGAAAAAATTGGCGGCAAGAACACGAAAGCTTTGGTGTTAAAATGATTCATATTACAGTACTACTGTAACAGAGAAGGATCTTACAGTTGGCTTGCCAACGCTGTATCCTTTTGCGTCGACCAAGTAAGTTATCACCCTTCCTGATCAGTCATCTTTTCACTCGATTCAAAGTCACCTGTTAAATCCAAACGTGAGGGATGAATTTATCAAAAGTTTATAGAAGAATCACTCTGGTGTTGAGCTCCCATCGGCCTGAGCCTGTCGAGCTTGTAAGTCCTGTAAAGGGGAGTGTAGGAGAGGCAGCAAATCCCGAAAGGTATAGCCATCATCGCAAACAGTCCCCTGGATAGAGCAATGGCTTCCTCTCTGGAGCCAACTTCCGTGATAATCACTCCTCGCCTGTATCCATAGACTTGCTCGGCCAGAATTCCCACGAGAGGAGCGGCCATGGCCGAGAAAGCTCCCTCAAAGGCCCGGTCGAAAGCGTAAATCATCGTTCTGTGCTTGGGAGGAACCACGTCTGCAAACATGGGATTGTTGGCACAAGCTTGGTTCCAGCTGATGATAAGTCCCATGCAAACGAGAGTAACTGCGAAGGCGTACCAGAGACCTGGTTCTTGCGGGAGTCCGTGGAGCAGCAGCCACGAGAATGGGATTCCCATGAACGAGCTGAACTGCGCACACATAATCCGGCCCGAGTTTGGATATCTCCGAGCCGCCTGGTCACCGATCCAGCCACCGAGGAGAGCGCCAAAGGCATTTCCCATGGAGAAGAGTCCGACTAGCATTGCTGCTCCTTTGTGTCCAAAGCCTGGGAAAGAGGTAGCCACGAGTCAGGAAAACGAGAGAAAAAAATCGATAGGAAAGCTTGCCAATAAGTTGGAACCACATTGTGAAGAACACCATCGCTGTCCAAGGAAATGATCCAACAAGTCCTTGCAAGACTATCAGCTGAAAAGTCCGTACCCTCACGATGTTGTTGATCGCAGAGAAGGAGTCCCTCCAAATGTTTGGGAGAGCTTTCATCTCCTTCTCACTCCGACTACAAAAAAAAAAAGACAGACAGAGAGAGAGCTTAGAACACCAGAGAAAGAACCGAAAGAACTTACAGCATCGAAGACGGAAGGCTTGATCCCCCTCTTGGATCGATGACAAACTGATGAACCAGCCACCCGATGAAAGCACTGAGCAAAGCCATGAGGATAAACGCGAAGCGCCATCCAGGCATTCCAGCAATCTCATAGCCGGCCATGATAGTCGCGGCCATGCTTCCCCCAATCCCCCCCAAGGATCCCACCAGATTGAGCCATCCAAACGCGACGCCTCTACCACCATCCAAGTAGCTATCCGCGATAAAAGACTGCGTTGCGGGGATCACGATGGCGAGACCGATGCCATTGACGGCCCTGGACCACGCGCACTGGGAGAAATTCTGGGAGAAGGCCACGGCGGCGGTGGAGAATGCCCAAAAGATCGTGCCCAGGCCAATCACTGCCGGACGATTGTAGCGCATCGACAAGATCCCTGCCGCCGGGGAGAATATCGCTTGGACCAGGGCCCGGATGAAAGTGAGAGCCCCTAGCTCCGATGGAGTGGCATGGAATGTCTGCGCTACTTCCTTGTACACGGCCGGCAGGAGCGATTCGTCGGCTTTCTCCATAATCGCTGCCAAATTGATGAGGAGAAGCGAGATCGAGAGGCGAGATCCCCATGATCTCGGGATCATCGTGCCGGACTGGAGAGCCTGGAATATTTCACGAGATTAACCTCGATTCGTCGCCAGAGCTTGAAGATCGATCGCTAGAACGCGAAGAAAATCGCATTGGATCCCAATCTAACAGCTTCTTCTTCACGAGATCCAAGAAAGCGCCCTGTTGGCGGCCTACCTCACAACGAAGAAGCTCTAGCTACTAAAACCCTTCCCCTAGTGTCAAACCCGCCACGTCGGCATAACGTGGACCCGTGCCAGAGCGCCACGTAACACTGTGTCACATTTTTATTTCTAGGGTTTGAGAGGAGGACGAAGATTATCGGCTTGTAGCGATGCAGCTGGGAGGATTAGTAGCGTCCGCCGGGATCAACATCGGCCTCGCGGTGATCTTCTACTCGCTCTACTCGATCTTCCGCAAGCAGCGCACGAATGTCAATGTGTATTTCCCGAGGTATGTGCTGCGCCAGAAGAATGTGTTCAAGACGGATCGATTCAAGCTCGCGAGCCTCGTTCCATCAGCTGGATGGATCCAGCGAGCTCTCCAGCCATCGGAAGAAGAGATTATCGCGTCGTGTGGCCTGGATGCGGCTGTGCTTCTCCGGATTTTCATCTTCAGGTTGGATCCTTTCCAATTGATCGTTCTTTTCTCTTACTTTTCTTCCTCCAGCATGAGATTCTTCGCGATTTGCACGCTCATCGGCGTTGGAATTCTAGCACCGCTGAATTACACCGACAACCAGGTGTCACACGCTTCTCAGATTGGGCTTCTCTTCGATAGTTTGGATTTATTCACGATTTCCAACATAAGTAACGGCTCAAATCGGTATGTTTGTTTTCTCAGCGATTAGATTCGATCATACCCTTTCCTTGAAGAAAATCTTTTTTCTCTTTCTTCGTAGGCTCTGGATTCATCTGGCTGCGCTATATGTGATCTCATTCTCGGCTTATTGGCTTCTACACATGGTCTGTGTTTCCGGAATATTTCTTTCGCTTTGCTTGAAATTCAAGCTTTTGTTTGGTTTCCAGGAATACAAGCACGTTACTCAGAAGCGGCTGGAGGTTTTAAGTACCGCTCGGCCTCAACCGGATCAGTACACTGTTCTTGTTCGCTCTATACCTCGAGAGAGCCAGGAAGAAAGCTACAGTGCTTCCATCGATCGGTTTTTTAGTCAGTATCATCCGCACACTTACTTGTCCCACCAAATGGTTATTCGCGATTGGAGAGTGGTGCGCAAGAAGGTTTGTGCTCTTTATCTTTTCTTGTTTCTTGTTACTGACTTACTTTTGCAGCAAACGCTTGAGTCGCTCGTAAAGGAAATTGAGAGATTGAAGCAGATTGCTCCCCATGAAAGGCCAACTTGTCGAGACGGGTGGCTGGGACTATTTGGTTCAAAGGTCGACCAGCTTGAGTTTAAGTCCCGAAAGTTTGAGGAACTCTTCGACGACTTTAGAGAGGGCCAACGAGAGCTTCAAAACAACGGCGAGGTGACCTTAGATCCTTAAAGTTAGAAGTTACATCGTTTGTTTTGTTTTTTCTTTTACAGGCAGAACTTCCTAGTGCGTTTGTTTCGTTCAAGAGCCGATGGGGCGCTGCTATGGCCGCACAGACGCAGCAAGCAGAAAATCCAATGGCCTGGGTTACGGATTGGGCTCCAGAACCCAGGGATGTCTACTGGCCAAACTTATCTATCCCTCTCCTCTTGTCAAAGCTCTATGCAATCGGAGTATGGGTCGCGGTGTTCGCTATCATCCTCACTTTCGTCATCCCTGTGGGTCTCGTTCAAACTATCGCTCAGCTGGAAAATCTCAGGAAGTGGTTCCCTGCCATCAAAATTGTCTTGAAGATGTAAGTCTTATTTGAGTTTTTCGTTCATCACTTGTTGGTATTGACATCGCCCTTTTGCTGCAGTCCTGGTATTAAGTCGGTTATTACTGGTTACCTTCCAAGTGTGCTACTTAGTCTACTGCTCTACATTGTTCCGTCACTTATGCTGTTTCTCTCAAAGGTCGAAGGACACGTTTCTCGAAGTACTCAGGAAAGAGAAGCGGCACGGAAAGTCTTCTTTTTCCTGGTTGGCAACGTCTTCTTCATCTCGTCATTGTCGGGATCTCTGATCGATCAACTTTACGCTGGCTTCTCGGAGCCGAAGAACATTCCAAACCAGTTGGCCATCTATGTGCCGAGACAAGTAAGCCGCAACTTACATTGTTCTGTACTTTCCGCTTATTTGCATTTCATTGCAGTCCACTTTCTTCATCACCTACATTCTTACTACGGGTTGGACTGGGTTTTCAACGGAAATTCTACAGCTTGGCATTTTCCTCCTCAACTTCATCAAAGTACGAATCCTTGGCAAGACCACATTCGACGAGACAGACACTATTTCATTACCATATTATCGTGCTCTCCCAAGCGTGCTACTATTCATATTGCTGGGCCTCATGTACGCGGTCCTGGCACCGTTGCTACTCCCGTTTTTGTTGATTTACCTCGTGTTTGGATACATTGTTTATCGCAACCAGGTACTGTTGATCAAACGTGACGATGTTTTCTTCCTCTGACGAAGTTCTTTGTGCTTGTCGCAGGTTTTGTTCGTCTATGAGCCTTCCTATGAAACAAGTGGACAGTTCTGGCCGCACGTCCATAGCAGCGTCATATTTGCGCTGGTGTTGATGCAAATCACTTTCATTGGCGTCTTCGGGGTCAAACAAAAGCCCAATGCATCCATTCTCACCATTTTTCTTCCGTTTATCACTCTCTTCTTCGACAACTATTGCAAAAGCCGGTTCGTGCCGATCTTCGCAAACCTTTCTATGGAGGTACGTATGCACGAAACGTTCTTTCCAGCACTTATTGATATCACTTGATATATTCCAGACCACAATGAAGAAGGATACTGAAGATGAGAAAAGCGGCGCAAAAGATGAGCTACTTCAGTGCATACAGGGATCTTACAAGCATCCCGCTCTACAATCACTGGATCTCCGGAAAAGCGATGCTGATGACAACACCGATCTTCTCCTCCCGGAAACCCCAGTTTAAAGCAGGAGCAATGAACACTTCTCATCGTCATTCTGCGGAAACTTAACATCAAGTCTGCGTGTAGGTCCGGAAGCGTGTGCCAATCTTTTGGAAGATAGTCAGCCGAAGGTTACGTCCTCGTAAGTTTTTTGGTTTTCAGTTGGTCGTCGTCGTCGTCGACTTGTACAGGTGATCGATCGATCGATCAGTGTTCTCGTTGTGTAAGTTGTATTCACAGGTCCTCAGTTTCGCTACCACCATCGCGAGTTTCTTGTATCATCGAAGATCTTTCGGGGCACGTCCTCCTGTTGTGCCCGTAAGTTTTACATATACTGCATTTGTTTGCCGAGCTCTTGTCGAGTATCTGTGGACAAGTCCGAGCGTTGTGATCTGTCCCATTGCAGGTCGTGCACTTGTATGGAGCTCGGCCAATGTGCCGCCGATCGCTTCGAGGACAGGAGTTTGCTCGGTGTCCAACGATTCCACATTCGCTGCATCGCGATTCTGCGCGACTCGGCCGTGGCCGTGACTCTGTGGAGCTCGGGCAGAAGCTCTTTCGATGGCCCTCCTCTCCACAAGCTCGGCAGTAATACTTCACGCCTGCATTGTGATACATTGCGTCAGGAACCTTGTGGAGAGTACGTTGCTGGTACCTTTCATGCGTAAACTTTGTTTGATTCTATTCTCGGGGTTCGTGAAGTACGCTATCAGCTTAGTCGAGATGTTCTTCCTCGATTCATCCGTTCCTTTCGCTTTCTACGCACAACAGTAAGCTCCTTGCGTTGAAAAACTCTCATACCTGAATCGCAGCTACTCTTTCAGCGTGCAAAACTGGATCTTCGTGTAGTTTCCTCATGCGACTGCTTATTGAGCCAGTCCGCCTTTCGAAGTCCTACGAGAGAAAATGTGAGTCTCGACGATGGTACTTACGATGGTATTTCCAACCTTTAGCGCATGGCTGATCTTGGTCCGGGTTGCTGCGGTAACAGGACCATATACACGCTTGGTGGCGACAGCTGCTGGAATGCTCATGTTTTCGATGGCTTCGTCGTCCTTCACGGTGATGGAAGAGCTGCTTGACAACGACCAACGTTAGGCCCAGTCGCGGACAAACTGTTAATCGAAAAACCAGCCATCGCAATTTCCAAAAACCTTCCCAGACAAGCAGGAGGTCAGCATCCGAGAGAGCAGTCTAGAAAACCATCTATGCGCCGAGAAGAGAAAAAGAAAGAGAGAGATAGAGAGACAAGAAAAAAATGGAGCGAAGGAACTTACACTGAATGGAGCTTCTCCCAAAACTCTTCGTGCATGTAGACCGATCTTCCTCGCACGACTCGATCGCCTTGACACTGCTGGCATTTCATAATCCCCTGGGAGGAACTCCATGAAAGAAGATAAGATGAGATCTTAGAACAAGCTGTATACCTTTCCAGCGCATTCCACACAGGAGGAGCACGGGCTGCCGAGATCGCACTCCTGGCAGTAAAGATACCCTCGTCCTCGGCAATCGGCACAAGGCAGCTCTTTGCCGTTCCTGACAACACAGCGATCGATCGATTTCTTAGAATATTTCGAGCGATATTTCCTACCTCGAGGGCGTGAAACCAAAGCTCCGGAGGAATGCCGCCGACGATCCGACCAAGTTATAGTCAAGAAACCTGAGATCTCCCCTGCAGCACGTCCATCGCGGCGCAATACTGCTCTTGATCGCTCGCGGCTGAATGGTGGAGCTTGCTACCACCGCCGATGAGCTCAGGCACCATACGCGCATCGCTGATCGGGAAGAGAGAGCGCAGAGAATGTAGCTAGGGCAAGCGATCGATCAAAGAATCCACCATAGCTAAAGAGAGAATGATCGATCGCCCGGCGCGTAAGTCCATATCCAGCCGTTGACGTGCCAGCGGCTAGGATGCTGCCAGAGGCTTGCCACGTTTCTACACGAAGTTAGGGTTGGCGCCGTTTAGAAGCATTTCAAACTGGAAGCTTTTGGCTATGGATGACGCTAAGCGCGCAGTGAAGCACGGGTATGTCCATTCGATTCTTCGATCAAACGCTGCAATGCTGGGGGAAATTTGTGAGTAACGGGAGGTTTTGATTCAATCTAGAGCCGAGAGTGTCGCCGAGGGGGCCGAGAACGCGGCCCAGGATGTCAAGGAGGCTTTTGGAGCGTCCCAGCCTGGATTGTCGACGCATGCTCCTCAGGAAGTCCAGCAGCAGCAGGGATCTGGATGGTTCCAGAAGGGATTTCTACTGCCAGAGGACGAGAGGGCTGAGGATTCCAGTCACGGGCAGCAGAAGATCGATGAATCGAAGCACAGGATCGATGAAGCCAAGCACAAGACCGAGGAACATGGCAAGGGTTTGCTCGGTGCGCTGGGAGAAATCGCCACGAATATCAAGAACGCTGTCGGGGGCGTCACAGAGGACGCCAAGGAACAGGGACGTCATATGGCGGACAGCGCTCGAGAGACTGCTGGGGAATACCAAGGAAAAAGCGAGGATCAAACTGACCGAGCCAGAGAAAGAGCGGACGACACGAAAAAATCCGCTAGAGAGACCAAAGACGATATCAAGGATCGAGCTGGCAAGACAGTGGACGATACAAAGAGGTCCGCGAGAGAAACCAAGGATGAGATGACTGACAAAGCCAAGAGAACCACCGATGAAACAAAGAAGTCTGCGAGAGAAACCAAGGACGAGGTGACAGACAGAGCGAAGAGGACCACCGATGAAACAAAGAAGTCCGCCAGAGAAACCAAGGACGAGGTGACAGACAAAGCAAAGAGGGTCGCCGATGAAACAAAGATGTCTGCGAGAGAAACCAAGGACGAGGTGAAAGATAGAACTCAGAGAACGGTGGACGATACGAAGAGGTATGTGAGGGAAACCAAGGACGAGGTGACGGACAGAGCTCGGAGTGCTGTGGATGAAACCAAACACAAGGCTGGAGACGCAGCGGACAGAGCTTCGGAGCAAGGCAAAGGCCTGTTTGGAACACTCGGTGAAATGGCTAGTAACTTGAGGAACGCTGTGGCCGGGACTACCGAGGACGTGACGCACGATAGAACCGAGCTGGTTGCCAACAGAGCCGATGAGCTGAAGGAGAAAGGCAAGAATGCGGCGGATGACTCGGTTGACGAGACAAAAGACGAGGCTTCTGAGCGAGGCAATGCTCTCTTGGATCGTGTCAAAGGCACCGCGGAAGACACACGTAACAAGGTGTATGAAACGAAGGATGAGGCTGCAGCAAGAGGGACCCGGGTGGTGGACAAAGTCAAGGATACGGCGGGGATCTTGAAGCAGAAAAGTGAAGACGCTGTCGAAAATGTAAAGCACAAGACCGATGAGACGGCAGATCGAGGCAAAGGTGTACTGAATTACGTCAAGGGTGTTGTCACAACGCCAACAGCCGGAGAGCACCAACAACATCGGCCACAGAAAGCAGAGGCCCCTCAACCACAGCAACGTAACCTTCGAGAAAAATACGAGGAGGCAAAGAGCAAAGCCAGAGACAATGCCGAGAAAGTGAAGGAAAACACCAAGCAACGCATGGAGGCGGCGACTGAAGCTGGCAGGGGGATCCTGGACGCAATCGGGGATGTGGCTTCCGAGTTCACGGACGTATTACAGGGATCGACTCGTCATGTACAGTCCGTGTCGGCTCGTGAGGTTGACGCACAGCGCGCAATGTCGGCAGCTCAAGGCAGAACGCAAGTGCCTCCCAATCTCGCCAAACTCAACGACGCTGCCCGCGAGGAGACCGAGCGGATTGTAGCTGAGCAAAAAGCGCTGGATGATGCTGCTGCCACCGCATCGTCTTCACCACCACCAACTAAAGAGCAGGACAAGAGCGTCATTGAATCCGTGGCTGAGTGGGTCGTGGACAGGAAGCAGCAGCTTACAGACGAGATGACACAGCGCGTAGTCGAAGCAGAGAAAGCCAAGCAGGACGAGGAGAGGAACAAGCGCTAGCTTGGAGCGTGTACCTGGTAAAACTTTGTCGTTCACTTCACTGTTTTATTTACTTGTTCTGATTGCTACTTCCAGGATCACAGTACAAGACCTTGCTTCTGTCAATGCTTTGGGAGGAGCATGTACTCTGGCTTGGAGTCGTGGTTGATAAACATGTAAGCCTTTCCAGTTGGACCCTTCTTCACCACCTCTTGAACGTAGTCTCCGAATTTGACAGGCTTGTAGAGCTGGGGGTGGTCCTCGTCGATGAGTTCCGGAGCAGGGGCGACTGTCGAATCGAACAAGCAGCTGTAGTTGGAAGCGATGGACATCCTGGGACGTGATGCGTTCACTTTCACGCGATGGATGACGCTCTGGTACCTCCCGTTGCTCATCAGCTGGGCGTTCATCACAACACGAGTAAGTTTGGAGACGGACAGAGCAGAACAGGAAGAACTTTACCTCGAGGAGATCACTGATGTTGATGGTGATTGCTCCCGGGATGGGCTCGACGACCACCCAGGTGTTGTTCTGGAGAACTTGGAGGCCGGGAATGCCATCTTGAAGCAGCAATGTGAGTCCTCCAAAGTCGGAATGGGGCTCGATGCCGAGCACCTTGTCAGGCTCTGGACAACCGGGATAGTAGTTCGTCAGGATAGATTGGTTGGGAACTCCAAAGCGTTTCTCGAAGTAGTCTGTAGGGAGACCAACGCCTTCGGACAGGAATCCCAGGATTTTCCTCGTGAGCATCAGGAAGTCATCAGAGAGACCGGACATCACTTCTCTGGAAAGTTAGCAATCGCAGAGTTTAAAGACGAACAAATGGAAGAACAGGGGCTTCATAATGGACCACCTTTCAGAGACGAAGAAATGGAAGAACAGGGAAGCTAGCTTACTTGTATTGCAGTGGCTGCGCGGGCCAGCTATCCAAGTTCCTCTTTGGAGACGTGCACAGGAAAAAGTAGTCCCTCCATAGCTGGACAGCGTCGGCAGCATTGGAGATCTTACTTCCATAGCCATCGCTCTTGAAGCCATACTCCTTGGCGGCATACTTGAGTTTCTCCTCCTTGGGCAGCTCGAAGAACTCCCTCGACACCTTCTGCGGCTTGGTGACATCAATGCCGTGGTTGATGACCTGGAAGAATCCCCACTCGCTGCTGGCACTTGCGATCTCGCGCACCACTCTCTCATGCTGCTCGGGGCTGAGATTGAAGTCACAGAGATCAACCACGGGTACCGACTTCCCAGGCTCGTGGGTCACCACTGGGACCTTGTCCTCGGGAGCTATGTAGTTCTTGGGGACCGCTTTCAATGATTTGCTGAGCTCTTGGACTGGAACAAACTCCGCGCCCATTGCAAAGATCTCTCCTTTCGTCATTTTAGATGCTCGCACCCTTTTAGTAGCGAAACAATTGGAGCGGGATCTATCCACGTATCCCGGTGGTGTGGGTGTTGACTAGCTACCAGTCAACTCGATGCTTGACTTTTTTCTGTCCTTGAGATTTGGGTATCATTGACGTTCCAAAGTTTGACAAAAAGATCTATTGCGTTTTTCATAATGTAGCTGCCCTCAATAATTATTTCTTTGTTCTGATTGATACTTCCAGGATCACAGTAGAAAACCTTGCTTCTCTCAATGCTTTTGGAAGAGCATGTACTCCGGCTTGGAGTCGTGGTTGATAAGCATGTAAGACTTTCCAGTTGGACCCTTCTTCACCACCTCCTGAACGTAGTCTCCGAATTTGACAGGCTTGTAGAGCTGGGGGTGCTCCTCGTCGATGAGTTCCGGAGCAGGGGCAACACCGGAATCGAACGAGCAGCTGTAGTTGCAAGCAATGGACATCCTGGGACGCGACGCGTTCACTTGCACGCGATGGATGACACTCCGGTACCTCCCGTTGCTCATCAACTGGGAGTTCATCATAAACACAAGTGCAAAACAGGAAGAACGTTTACCTCAAGGAGATCACTGATGTTGATGGTGATTGCTCCCGGGATGGGCTCGACGACCACCCAGGTGTTGTTCTTGAGAACTTGGAGGCCGGGAACACCATCTTGAAGCAGCAACGTAAGTCCTCCAAAGTCGGAGTGGGGCATGAAGCCGAGCACCTTGTCAGGCTCTGGACAACCGGGATAGTAGTTCGTCAGGATGGATTGGTTGGGAATTCCGAAGCACTTCTCGAAGTAGTCAGTAGGGAGGCCTACACCTTCGGACAGGAATCCCAGGACTTTCTTTGCGAGCATCAGGAAGTCATCAGCGAGACCGGACATCGCTTCTCTGGAAAGTTAGCAATCACGGGGTTTAGAAACGAAGAACTGGAAGAACAGGGAAATTTTCACGAGACAAAGAAATGGAAGAACAGGGAAGCTGACTTACTTGTATTCCGGTGGCTGTGCGGGCCAGTTATCCAAGTTTCTCTTTGGAGACGTGCACAGGAAAAGGAAGTCCCTCCATAGTTGGACAGCATCGTCGGCGTTGGAGATCTTACTTCCATAGCCATCGCTCTTGAAGCCATACTCCTTGGCAGCGTACTTGAGCTTCTCCTCCTTTGGCAGCTCGAAGAAATCCCTCGATGCCTTCTGCGGCTTGGCAACATCGATGCCGTGGTTAATCACCTGGAAGAAGCCCCACTCGCTGCTGGCAGTTGCGATCTCGTGGACCACTCTCTCATGCTGCTCGGGGCTGAGATCAAAGTCACAGAGATCAACCACCGGGACGGACTTTCCAGGCTCGTTCACCACCGGGATCTTGTCCTCGGGAGCTATGTAGTTCTTGGGGACCTCTTTCAAGGATTTGCCGAGCTCCTGGACTGGAACAAACTCCGCAACCATTGCAAAGACCTCTCTTTTCTTTTCTTTTCTTTTTTTCCTGCTTTTAATGGCACCTTTATACATTTGGAGCGGGATATATCAACGTGTCCCGATGGTCGCCAGTGCTTGAGTGTTGGGTGTTCACTAGCTAACCTTCTCAGTCAACTCGATGCTTCACTTTTTTCTAACAAAGAGCGTGGTTCTCCTTAAGATTTGTGTTGACAAAAATATAATCTCGCGTCCAACGGTCTTTGTTCTTATTACTGTATGGCCCAGCAAATGGAAAAACTTGTATATACAGAAATGTTCAAGCTAGTCAATAATATCATTCTAAATAGTGATATATTCCAATAAATTTAAGTCTAAAGGCCGTCTCACGCAATATCAATTTCTTAAAATGCCATCACCACGAGGTTCCATTCCTAGCCCAGATCCTCATGCTGAGCTTGCTCAAATCCTTAGTGCCAAATTCCCAGATGCACAAAAGAGAATACTTAAGCATTTCGTCAATGCAGAAAAACATCCAATTAAGACTTATGTTTGTGATCCCAAATCAAGAGCAACAAAATGCCCTTCTGACCCCACATCATTCTTGTTTATCCCTTGCAAAGCCCTTGGCTCCAGTCTCTCGTCATTCCTAGCACGTATACCCTGTCTCCACCACTCATGTCCAAAGCGGTCTCATGCAACTGTACTCAGTGCACCTTGAGTTTGTAAGCAGGATAAAAAGAACCTTGAGTTTACAAAGGCTTAAAGGTTAGAAAGAATCAATTGTTAAAAGTTCTAGGTATCTCTTGCAAGCGAAGCCACTTTGAGAAGATCTTCATCACCAGTACACATTCAAAGAGCAGGAATTTCCAAGAAATCTCTTGGTGTTCATGGACCCCGCAAGGCCTGCAACTGCTGAGATACAGCCACCTGCACGGGATAAAGGACAAACATCATAGCAATGGCTGTTGCAATTTCTTCCTCTACCAGCACCCAGTCAGCGCCTGTACTTTGGCCAAGCCGTTCAGCTCGCTCCGCTTATTAAGCAGGAGAATTCAAGAGATAAAGAGGACAAACATACCTTGGCACGCAGCGCCACGGCAGCGTCTTCTTCTTGATCGAGCTGATCCTTACATGAAGACCTTGCACACTCCAGGCTTTCTGTCATTGACAACCTACTTTTACCCACATGCATGCATTTGCTCTAGTTCTTGCGCCGGTAGATGTCTGTGCGGCCGAGCTAAACAAGGCCCCAAACATGAACCCCCTCTGATGGCGCAATTGGCCAGATCAATTTCCGCCACCACTTGTTATATATTGTGGATATTTAACTTTTTTAGTTTAAACACTAGTTTAAGAGAGTATTAACTAAGCATCAATGCCTTTTGATTTAAAAAATTAACTTAAGAAAGTTCAGATAGATAGATAGATATGTTTTAAGTCACCACAACACCCATCAGGCATGGGACCAAATTAAAATTTCCTAATTTTTTTCTAAGCTAAAGTGATAAGTCACTCTATGATACAGTGATAGGGGTTAAAAGAAAATCAGTAATTAAGTTTAGACATTATTAAAATAAATGTAAAAGCAAATAAAAAATTATGTGTTGCGCATTGCATGGGAAGTTTGCTCAGTGCTAATCTTATTTTATTTTTTTATTTAATAATCCAGAAGTTTATAATTATAAACATGTCTATAAATTATAAATACAAGATTAATCTAAATGAATAACAACCGCTAGATGGCACCACACACACACAATATTTTTATATATTATTTAGAATTTATAAGTTTTTTTATTTAATGTCAATTAGAGTCTTTTAAGAAGAAAAAAAACCATCCAATCTAATTATATTATTTTCTTTTAATTTAATAGTGTTTGGCTCACAGCAATTCACAGTGGACCTCCCTTGATTCAGGGTGCTTACATTGCACTGGGCAACTCTCCCTAGAGCTACATCATACCACCAAAGTTGTATGCATAAATGAAATTTACAATATTCTATAAAGATGATTGCGTTTGAAAAAAATGTAAGAGAATAGGGATCTTTAAATGGTAATGTAAGAGAATATTTGGAAGATCCTTTTAGGGCTTGGCCAGGCGATGGCGGGCAAGCAGCCGAGCTTATGGTGGGGGTGCCTGGTGTCCGAGCTCGGCGCGGTGGGGGCGGGCAAGCCGGGATGGCTGGATGACGCCGCTCTCGTCGCGGCCATGGGTCGAGATCTGGTCGCCATTGCCAGGCAGCGATCGCTCGTTGTCACGCCCTGGAGTGGCGCTCACAGCTCCGCGCCTCGCGCATCAGGTTTCTCGATCGATTCCATCCCAGCCGCTACCGGGGCCGATCCCTCGTATCGAATCACCGCACTGGAGTGGCTCTTTTGGGAGGGATGGTCGGTTCTCGCCGTCGGTACGTCGTTGGGCATTCTTTGCTTCTACTCGGAGATTGGAGATCTCCTTATCAAACAGGTTTGCGAGCAAGGAAAAAAAAGCTTCTTTTTGAAGGGAAAATGGATTTTTTTCTTCCAGAGCTTCAATGTTGGATCGATTTGCAACTTACACGTGAGGTGCAACCAGAACAAGCGTGTTACTGCCGAGGAGCTCTCTGTTGCTTTCCAGAGCTCCATTGCGAGAATCGACGCCTTAGATCTCCAGGTAAGAACTCCAGGTTTTTTTTTTTTTGTTTCCGAGCCATGCTTGTCTTTTTTTTTTTGCTTTTAAACCCAGTCACAACTACGCAGACGATTGCTTGAAGTTGCGAGAAACTCCACGCTCGAGCGCCAGTTGATCGCGGCAGAATCGACGAAGCTTTCGTATCAGGTGTGGAGTGTCAAGTCTTCGGGAAGTAGCATTTGCGTGGATGCCGCGATAACTGGCGTGCTTCCGCCAGCTCTCTTTGAGCAACAGGTTGGGAAACGCAGACACTCCTCGAGCATTTGTCGCAGCTTCGACTGATACCAAGTTTTAAAAGCAGTTCTTTCTTGCAGTCGAGAGAGCGCTACTTTTGTGCCGTCACCATTGGATCGGACAGCACACTGGCTGCTTTCAGGTTTGTCTTCTTTCTTCACTCTCTCGGATTTTAAACTTGTTCCATTTCAGGCTTTCAGAAGATCGAAGGAAGTCACTGACCGAGCTACTGTTTAACAAGGTTGTTCCGGCGACGGTCTCTAGGATAACTTCTTTCGCCAAAGCGTTTCGACGCAACAGCGAGCCTGTCCAAGAAGCTAGACCGGCAGAGGTGAAAGCCCAAGAGTTCTCCAGAGGTAATAGCGATCGCTGCAAAAACGTAGACCACCTTGAGCTTTTTGTTTTTTCTCCAGCCTCGCTCATCACAGCTCTGAAAGATTCCCCGCGCAAGGGCGAAAGTTTGGCGTTGTCTCCAACTTGTTCACTGGCTGCTGTGACCGATTCCTTGGGACGAGTTCTTCTCGTCGACGTACATGCTCTCGTCGTGGTTCGTCTATGGAAGGTAATGGACGTTCTGTACGTGGATGATCTCATAGCGATTGTTTGGCAGGGATATCGTGATGCTCACTGTAAGTTCCTCGAGGCACCACTGAATGGCTCGTCCGGACTCCAGCACAGGAGCTCTTGCGTGAAGGAAGACTTTTCTCTCTGTCTCGCGATTCATGCTCCTCGTAGAGCTGTAGTGGAGGTAAGCAAAAACAAAACTTTCCTTCTCAGAGCTCACAAATCTTTGCGATTTTTTCCAGGTATGGCAGCTGCGAAATGGTCCTCGTTTATCAGTGATCCACTGCTCCGAGAGCTGCCGGTTGCTACAACCCCCGAGCCAGTTCTGGTCGAGCGATCGAAACGATCACGAGGAAGAAAGCTACTCGCCCAAGCTCGTGTTCTTGCTCAAGGGAGACTCTGGCTTGCTTTCTCTCATCAATCCCTTCATGGATCAGTGAAGAAGAAACCGTATATTCTTTTTGTGTAGAACGATTTGTACAGGACAAACACTATATATTCTTTTTGAATATGATCGATCGATCGCAATCTCTACTTTAGAACTTTGTCTGCCAAATCTTTATGACGAGAAAACACAACACAACGAAGTACTCGTTAAAAAACTAGGGTTCTTCATTCTTTTAGGTGGATGATGGGAACTTGGTGAGGTGAGCAGTCAATTCGGTGGACGCCGCGTCGATTCCACTCCTCACATCGATCGAAAAAAAAACGCCGAGTGCAATTCACCAGAATGGACAGCAATGCAGCACCTGCAGTAGCTGGAATGGAGCAAGAAATTTGCTTCTCTGTGTCAGATCGCGCAGGGAAAATGGGGGATTCTCGGCTCAGGAGGGAGCGAGGATGATCCCGATCGGCGAGGACGGCGGCAAGCCGATGGGATTGAAATCCTCCTCCGCGGCGACGGCAGTGGATCAAGGCAGGGGAAATCTCCTCAAGTACCTGTGCTGCTCGGGCTTGATCGCGCTCGTCCCCATCGCGATCGTCAATTGCTACGTCTTCCTCGTCTATTCCTCCCTCATCGATCAGGAAGCGGTGCTCTACTCGCTCCATTCCGCGTCGCTCGGCGCAAATATTTCCACTCGAGGTAGAATATTTTCTTGTTCTTGGTGTTCTTGGTGTTCTTGATCTTGATTGGCGATCCATGGCGCCACAGATTGCGATCTCTCCAAGGGCAAGTGGATCCCCGACGCTGCGCCGCCGCTCTACACCAACGAGACCTGCCGCTACATCCAGGGCCATCAGAACTGCCTCAAGAACGGCCGGCCGGATCGAGGATTTCTCGCCTGGCGATGGCGCCCGGACGAATGCGATCTCCCGCGCTTCGATCCCGCCCTGTTCTTGCGCGCCATGAGGAACAAGAGGATGATCTTCTTCGGCGACTCCATCGCCAGGAATCACATGCAATCGCTACTGTGCGCCATCTCTCAGGTAAGAACACTTCCAATTTCCATCTCTCGATCGATCGGTTTCCAATCGATTCCATTCACGCACAGGTGGAGGAGCCGCGAAATCTCTACCGCGACCCGATCGACAAGGACGTGATCTGGCTCCTGCCCTCCTTCAACTTCACTCTCGCGATCTTCTGGTCGCCATTCCTGGTCAAGCACGAGCAGCGATCCAGCAACGGCAGCACGATCATGCACATCCATCTCGACACCCCGGAGGAGATCTGGATGTCCCGGCTCCACGAATTCCACGCCATCGTCCTCTCCTCGGGGCCCTGGTTCTTCAAGCCCAGCGTCTACTACCGCGGCGGATCCATCGTCGGCTGCCACCACTGCGGCGACGAATCCATCCCGCCGCTCAGCTTCATCGACGCCTACCGGATGGCGCTGGGCGGCGTCTTGGACTCCATCGCCGCGCGCGATGGCTACGCTGGAACCACATTCCTGCGGACCTTCTCGGCGGAGCATTTCGAGAATGGCGAGTGGTGGAATGGCGGGACGTGCAATCGCACGGAGCCATTCCGGAACCAAAGCGCGGTGGAGCTGCCGTGGATGGCGAGCGAGATGCGGCGGATCCAGGTGGAGGAGTTCGATCGCGCCGCGGCCAAGAACCCTAGCAGATCCAAGCTCAAGCTGGTGGACGTGTCCTACAGCGCCTACCTCCGCCCCGATGGCCATCCCGGGGTGTTCCGGAGCTCCAGGACGCTCACGCCTGATGGAAGCGCGGTCCAGAGCGATTGCCTCCACTGGTGCCTGCCCGGGCCGATCGACATGTGGAATGAGATTCTCCTCAAAACGCTGCTCGCCCGGGAGCCCTAAAATTTGCGCAAGAGCCCTAAAAGAATATGCCAAATTGTAAAAGGATGGAAAATAATGGCAAATGAAAATGCAAAACACTCGTTTTTGACCTCCAAGTGTTTTGAGATTGTCTGAGGAGATGAAGACATGATCCAATGTAGCCAACCTGAAGAGGTTAAAGACTTAGCCACAGGTTAGTCTGTGATGTTAGCAAACCAATCCTTTAGCGGTTTGTCTTTGAATCTTAGTGCTTATAAAACCAAACGAGTTCATTGTGACTAATCGATTAGGATGAGATTTATTTATAAAACCGATGAGTTCATAATCATCGTGACGAATCGATTTCTTTTCCAGCAGCACGCGAGAGGCAAAAGTTATCTGAAACACGCAATCCGAAACAAAGCCGTGACTTTCTACTTGTTGCCTTTGCGTGCCTACGTACCTAATGTCTGCTAAGGAATAGAAAACACAGATCCGAGGCCTCACAAATCCCTGTTGCCGCTGTCTTGATCAAGATTAGGATCGATCTGCTGATGGATCGGGCTAGCGACCGCACCAGAAACGTAGAAACAGGGAGGAGATTGGCTGTTAATCGCTGGAAAAATCATTCTGGGTTGCTGCTTCATCTGATCCAGATGAGCTGCGCTGAACTGCCGCCGCATAGCAGGAACTGTGGCTTGCTGCTGCTGCTGCTGGTCCATTTGATCGAGATGAGCAGCACTGAACTGCCGCCGCATGATCAGAGGCTGCTGCTGGACTTGGAATTCAATATGCTGTGGCTGCTGCTGCTGCATCTGATCTAGATCAGTGGCACTGAGCTGCCTTCGCATGACTTTCTGCTGCTGCTGGTTCTGGTGGTGCTGCTTGATGGGGTCTGACCCCGTCCGTTGGATCTTCATGTGGTGATTTACGTGCACTGGCTGTTGGATCATGTATTGCACTGGCTGCTGCAAGTAAACCATGTTTCCTTCAGTGAAATAGGATTGCTGCTGGTGATGGGCCAAGAAATTTTGATGGTGGGGTTGGTGTGAGAAATTAATGGGAAGTTCTTGCCTCATTACACCAATCCTCTGCTCTCCTAGATTTTTTTGAAATATGGATGATTGCTGGAATGCTTTCTTGGATTCATTCATTTTGCCTGGCTTCTCTTCCAAATCTCCCAGTTTCATCTCCTGTGGATTAGGGCTGACCTGGCCACACGGTGACGACGTGGACGGTCCGGTCATCTTCTCGAGCGGCAAAATTTGCAAAATATTTTGGGGGACGATCGGGTTTTGCGCGATGCTGATGGGATCGATCGCGATGGCAGGAGCTGGGAATGGCGGAACCGGCCTAGGTCTTGGAGTGGTGGAGCTAGCAAAGAGGTAATCTGGGAGCTGCTCTTCATGGATGATCCCGTTGTTGTTTAGCGCGTCTAGGAAGCTCTGCTCGCTCGATGCGGCGCTAGGGATGTGACCGGCAGGGATCGTTGGGAAGAGGAACAGGCGGAGCTTGGAAGGGGAATCCCTGGCGTCAAGGCGTTCGTATTCTTCCAGCATCGCTTCCAGGTCGTCGTCGCAGAAGATCGAGACGAGCGCGTCGAAATCCTCGTAAGGGAGCTTGTATTTGGGGAGAACGCTGCGGCCGCCACAGATCTTGGAGAGCTTGGCGCGGAAATCCGCGTAGGAGATGGTCCGGGGGACGACGAAGATCCGCGTGTCGCCGCCGATGTAGCGGAGCTGGGAGTCGTGTGGGCTCATCACGATCCGGCCGCCATAGCTACACATGAGCTTCACCCTCGTGCTCTCGTCCTCGGACATCTGGTCTGATCGCGGCGATGAGCACTGGGAATTGGGAAGAAGAAAGTGCGCACCATTCATAGAAATCGAATCCATCTTACAAAGGTGAGTGAAGTTTTTTTTCCTTTGCTCTCTTGTGCTTGGACTAACTAAGCAGGAGATTCTTCTAGTCGAAGTGAAGCTGACGAGCGACGGCGTGACTGACTCTCAAAAGCTAGCAACCATTCTCTTTGAAGCGAAGAACTTTCAGGATGGATGAAACTTGGAACTTCTCTCTCTCTCGCTCGCTCTTGAAATGGTAAAGGGATTTATTGTGGAGGACTGAACTGTTGGAGCTGATAAACGACAGGGCTGCGCAGCTAAATAAAAGGAGGCGATGTTCAACGCAAAACAGGAGCGAGTGGTACCTTGGCTTTTTCGTCTGGTGAAGTTGTGCATTTTCGTCGCATTGCAAAACTCATGTTTCACTCTTGCAGGGCAGGACACAAGGCTTAAATCATCCATGGAAAACTATTATATCCTCGTGTTTTGCAGCTTTGATGCTCGCCGTAAGCTTCTTTAAGTTTTGTCTATGCTTGATATATACTAAATGCTTTTACTTTCAGGCAGAAACACCAGCTGCAACAGTTGCTCACCGGGAGGGCAAACGGCGCCTCTTTTGGGATCTCGCCTGCTCGTTCGCGACGCTGGCAACATCAGTAAAGGGAGCCGCAGATCAAACGCGGGTTTGTTCTTTATAGATCTCTGCAGGTTTTAACATAACTATTTACTCACGGGAGGTGGCATGGAGGACGACGAGCTGTGGGATTTGGTGCTCACCGATGAGAAGGGGCGTATCCATATGGAGCCTCTGGAAATGCCTGCACATCTGGTGGCTATTTCTCTGACTCCACAGGGCAGCACTTCGATCCTTCCTGAAGGTATTAATGTGGAGTTTTCCATGCTTTTTTCTTTCTCTTTCTTGCAAGGAGTGGGCTCCAAGCAATACATATGTCACAGAAGGATCCCACCACTGAGAGACACAATCCAATCGACAGGTACAAACCCGGTTCAGAGACAATGCTAGGCTGATCCGATTCTAGTTGCCTCGGTGGCACTATACTTTCTAGTCCGCGCACATATACGGCCCGCTAGACTTCAGAAGGTTAAGGTGGCGGGTAGCGATTACTACCCTGTTATTCTGTGTTTCCTAAAAGCGGCTTCATTCGAAGATCTTCAGGGTTTGGTGAACAGAAAGATGAAGGCATCGTTTTGCATCGCTTTGCAGTACCACCGAAGATGAACGAAAACGATACACGAAGACGAAGTGTGAGATGCGTTTATTCCACGTCTTAAAAAGAAAGGTTCGTTTAGAGGTTTCCCTTTAAGCTACCTTATAAAAGGTGGTATTGCAAAGCTAAGGTTGTGTTTTCCTTTTCCATGAAGAGGTTATTGCCAGAGGAGATTTCGGAGCTAGTCTTGCTGCGGCTCCCGTTCTCCAGTGTGATCACCTCAAGATTGGTGTGCAAGGAATGGAAATCAATAGTGGATTCACCCAGCTTTACGCGATGCTACAGCGACAACGTGACGATAATCGAGGAAATGGAGAAGAGTGACATCCCAACTTACAGAATAATCGACAGTAGCAACAAGATCATGCTTTGGACGGGCCAAGGATTCTTGAGCATAGGCTCTTACAACCAAGGGTTGATGGTGGCGTACTCTCCAAAGGAAGGCCAGTACTACGTGGGCAATCCATTCTTCAACAAGTGGAAGAAAATCCCAATGCTAGAACACTCCTCCCACCATAGGGTTCGAATCTTTGTCAATCAGGAGAGCTACAAGCTCGTTGCATGGGAAGACCTCGGCTCGGTTCTGACATTTTCTCGAGGTCAAACGTGCTGGTCAAAGACCGAGGGTTCTGGGTTCACTACTGATCCGGTCATGATTGACGATAAGATCTTTGTTGTGGACACTGTCAAGGAGAGATTGATCATGTACACAGAAGGTGGCAGCTTCTCTTACAGGGCTTTGAGAATTGGGTGTAAGTATTCCGCGTATATGAACTTAGATTGCAAGACTTATCTGAGAGCTTGGGAGAGGAAATTATATGCAGTGGTGATAAAAGAGAACGCTCCTTATAGCACGAGGGTCAGGATTTGGGAGATTCCTGACAAGGTGAAACTTGTGAGCGAGATAGTGTTTGATGATGTGGCGGTGGGACTTGCTCTCGAAGTAGGCAGTGGGCAGTACTTAAATTTTTCAACTTCAGATGGCTTTACGTGTTCTTATGATATGAAGGTGAACAACTCTTGGGAGAGTAGAAGATTTCGTGATGTGTCTCCCATGTCAGTCAAATATTATCCAAACTTATGAAATAAGTTCCTTTTTTGTACTTAAACCGATTTAAACCTTGGACCCTACGAAAAAATAACCAAATGCGTTTATAAAGTCAATTTTGTTTCTGAACACGTATCAATTTTTTTCAAAATCGATCTTATCTGAACAGGTATCTTGATACAGACAGAAAACCTTTATTTAAAACCGCTCGTGCTGCTGACAAGCAGCCAACCTGAGAATGCCCCACGATCAAGACTTGAAATGCACTCAAAATCAGGAGAGCCACAAATTTGTTTATGCTTGTGATGATATCAGATTCCTTTGGGCGAAAATTTCCTCCAGTTACAAAAAGAGAGAGAAGACATCCAAAACATGTGCAAACAAAAGCTGGAATTCAAATCAAGCTACAATACGCTTATTCACTTTGTTGTTGTGGCGCGTTTTTGGTGGCTGTGTGTTCCTATGGCGCAGGAGTGTACGGCATCTGCGGCTGTTGCGACACAAGAACCACCCCAGCCTGATCAATGGGTCTCACAAATCCCTGCTGTTGCTGCTGTGCTGCCCTGATCTCAAGACCGGGAGCGAACTGTTGTGGAATAGGAATCGAAACCGGCAGAGGAATCGTCGAGACAGGAATAGGTGCCTGGGCAGGAGAAGAACTGTTCACTGCTGGAAACATCATCCTGGGGATTTGCTGCTGCTGCTGCTGCTGCTTCATTTGATCGACATACGCAGCGCTGAGCTGCCTCTGCATGACTTGCTGCTGCTGCTGCTGCGGCTGCTGCCTCAGAGGGTCTGATCCTCCCCGTTGAATCTGGATGGGAGCCTGCTGCTGGTTTACGTGCACTGGCCGTTGGATGTAGTGCATTGCCTGCTGCTGCTGGTCTGTGAGGAAGTAAACCATGTTGTTCTCAATGATGTAGGGTTGCTGCTGCTGGTTGTAGTAGACAACCTGAGGCTGCTGTTGGTGATGGTGTATGAAGTTCTGCTGCTGAAGTACCTGTTGCTGAAATTCCTGCCTTGTGGCGGCAATCCTGTGCTCGGGCTGCTGCTGCTGCTGCTGCTGCTGGAAAGCAATTGCTTGCTGTAGTTTCATGGACTCGTTCATCCTGGCTAGCTTCTCTTGCTGCTCCAATTCCTGCTGCATTTGCATCTTCCTCTGCTGCTGCTGCTGCTGCTGCTGCTGCTGTTCTTGAGCTTGGGCATCCATCTTTTGCTGCTCCATAAACACATTGAGGCTCATCTCCTTGAGATTGAGGCTGCCCTTCATCGGTAGCGTGTTGTCCTGTGAACTGGACTTAGGGCTGTCGTGGCCAACGACCTTGCTGTCCTCGTCAGCATTGCTCTTCTCGGCTATGGCTGCCGCCTCCGCCTTGACGAGCGTGAGGGCCTCCATTCCTTCCACACCTGGCGATGACGCGGACGAGGGAGCGTCCATAGCGGTGGCAGCGTTGGATTGCTTGTCGACATGGGAGAGTTTCGAATCCTCTGGCGGTAGCCTGGGGCCGGTCTTGGGTTCGAGCTTCTTGGGCGAGCTGTTCTTGTCCTTCTTGGGGCCCCTGGGCGGCAAAATTTGCTGTTGCGAGGAAATATTTTGGGGATTGGGGCTTTGCCCGATCGGTAGCTGCTGCTGGATCGGTGGCGCCCTGGCTTGCTGGATCTGTGGGGTGTAGATGGGATCGGCTGAAGAGATCGCGGTCGAAGGAGCTAGGAATGGCGAAACTGGCCTAGGTTTTGGACCGGCGGCGTCGGCAGCAGCAGGGGGATCGTACTGCCGAGGCTGTGGAGGATTGCTGTCGATCTTTCTTGGATTTGTACAGATCGGGGTGAGCTCGGACTGCATCGCGGAATCGGCTTCCATGATCTTCTTTGCCACTGCCGAGCCGGGGCCATCGGCGGCGGCGATCACCTCTTGCATCGAGATCGATCCAGGCACTTCGAGGCCGAAGAGGAAATCCGGCACGTCTGATACTACTTGCTGCTGGTCGGGCTGCTCGGTCTGCTGGATCGTGTTGTTGAGCACGTCGAGGAAGCTCTGCTCGTTCCTGGAATCAAACCTCAGCGACGACGTGGGGATCTGGCCGGCGATGGCGGCGGCAGTGGAAGGGATCTTTGGGAAGAGGAAGAGGCGGAGCTTGGAAGGGGCCTCTTTGGCATCCAGGCGCTCGTATTCTTCCAGCATCGCCTCCAGATCGTCGTCGCCGATGACCGAGACGAGCGCGTCGAAATCCTCGTAAGGGAGCTTGTACTTGGGGAGGACGCTGCGGCCTCCACAGATCTTGGCGAGCTTGACACAGAAATCCGCGTAGGAGATCGTCCGGGGGACGACGAGGATCCGGGTGTCGCCGCCGATGTAGCGGAGCTGGGAGTCGTGTGGGCGCATCATGATCCGGCCGCCATAGCTACACATGAGCTTCACCTTTGTGGCGGCGCCGTTCTCGTCCTCGGACTTGATGGACATCTGGTCCGACTCGAGCCGCGGCGACGAGCACTGTGACAGATTGGAGAGGAATTGCGAGCCAGTGATCGAATCCATGCTCATCTTGGCCGCTGCTCCTTTACTTGCGCTTCGATCTCAAGCAAAGTACCGGTGAGTCTCTCTTTTTTTTTCTCCTCTAAGAGTCACTCTCTTCAAGTTGCTGGACGACAAAAGAGACTATAATTCTTACTAGATTGTCAGCGATTGAGGAAATGGAAGGCGAGAACAACACGGATCTCTTGACAGCCCCTCGGCCTCTGCGTGGTTTTCAAAGCGATACGTGACACTGACACCGTTCGCTGGCACCTCCTCCAAATCCATATCTGACTTGAGCTTCCACAACAAGGTAAGACTTCTGGCAAAGTTTCTACACTAAAACGCGCTCGCCCACTCGCTCTCAGGGTTTTTCTTTCACCCAGTGGATGGAAAAGTAGGAAGGGATTTTATTCTGGAGATTCGGGGCGCACTAAGCGATAGGCCCGCACTGTTCCTGTTAATGGGGCTCTACCTAGCGACAGGCTTACGCATTAAGGCGGCTACAAACGTTGAAAAATTTTTATGGAAGGAGCAAGAGAACAAAGAGTTAAGGTTCAACGGAAAACAGGAGCGCCAACTTGGTTTTTCTATCAATGGTGGTGAGTGAGCACTCGCCTGGTTGTCAATTCGTCGCATTGTCAATCTTACTCACAACCACATTTTGGGCAGATTCTTCCGCTCAACACGCTCGTCCTTAAACTGTACGAAACGTTTGTCATCTTTATCGCAATCCTGTTTAGCGCTTTCTACAACCCAGATGCGTGGGGGAGAAGCTTCGAGCTTTCTGTAAGTTTCTGGACGTTCTGTACGGTGCTTACTGTTCCTTTGGCCTCGAGCTTTCTGTAAGTTTTTGGAAGTTCTGTAGATGCATGGTGCTTACTGTTTTTCCTTCATCAGCCGCGATCAAGTTTGCCTCAACACGTTTCCGAGCATCACATAAGGTGCGGACCTCTTCGTTTTTAGTTGGAAAAAACTTCTAGCTGCATTGAGACCGCTCCCGACGTCACTGACACCCCTGGACGCTCCAAGAATGCAGACCCAGTCGCAGGTGTTTGGATGGAAAGGCATGGTGAGAACGAGCTCCCGCGCATCATCCAGATGCCTCGCGCGAGCAAGCAAGTCGATCAAGCAGCTGTAGTGAGCCTTCCTCGGCTCCATCTGGTAATCCACAATCATGCTCGTGAAGTAGCTCCAGCCAGTCTTGACGCTCCCTTTGTGATTGCAGGCAGCCATGAGCTTGACAAAGCACAGGGGATCCGGCTCTACGCCTTCTACCACCATCGCATGAAACAGGTAGAAGCTCAAATCGAATCTCAGGCTTCTCGAGCACAGGGTCAGCATGACAGTCCAGCACACAACATCGCCACGCTCTGGAATCCGCGAGAAGATCTTACTGCCAGTTGGGAGCTGCCCCTCTTGAGCATACGCGCCAAGCATTGCAGTCCAAGACACAGTGTCACGGATCAACAAGTTGTCAAACAGTTTCTTCGCATCGCCTAGATGCCCGGTTTGGGCATACGCAGAGATCATCGAGTTCCAAGACTCCAAATTGCGATCCAGCATTCCAGAAAAGAGTGACTTCGCCTCGATCAGATGCCCTCTTTGGGCATAGCTTGCTAATATGGTGTTCCACGCGGTCAACGTTCTCACGGGCATTTGGTCAAACGCGGTCTTGGCCCGGTCAAAGAGACCGTGCTTACCATACATGGTCAACAGTATGGTCCAGGAGACCGCATTTTTACACGGCCCTGGAATATTGTCAAACAAAGCTTTGGCATTTGTTGTATCTCCACTCTTTGCAAATGCCCACAGCAAGGTCGTCCATGACACGGAATCTTTTGCATCCATTTTATCGAAGAAGCGGCAAGCCTCGGGGATATTCCCGCTCCGGGCATATGCTAAGAGCATCGCGTTCCACACGATGAGGCTTGCTACGGGCATCTTGTCGAAAATAGCTTTAGCCGCCGAATGATTCCCAACTTGGGCATATGCTACCACCATGGTTGTACAGCTTACAATATCCTTACAAGGCATTTCACGAAATAGAACGTTTGCCTCCAAAAGATTCCCCGAACGAGCATTTGCGAAGATCATGGCGTTGTAGCTGATAAGATCCCTTTGTGGCATACTCTCAAACAGCTTCCTAGCATTCTCAAGATTCCCATTCTCGGCATATGCCGTAAGAATAACTGTAAAGGAGATCAAGTCTCTAGTTTTCATGGAATCGAAAATTCGTCTTGCTTCTTCCAATTGCCCAAAGCGGACGTAAGCTAGTAGCATAGACGTCCACGAAACCAAATCCCAGTTTGGCATCTTATGAGTAAAGAGGAATACTGTGTGCTCGAGTGATCCATGCTGAGCATACAGTGCGAGATATATATTCCAAGAAGAATGTCCATGCGGCATTCTTTCAAATAGATCTTCAGCCTTTTGCAAATACCCCATTCGGGCATATGCTGACAACATACCATTCCAGCATGGAAGATCCCAACATGGCATCTTGAAAAATATTCTCTCGGCATTTCCTATGTACTCTTGTTGTGATACTGCTAAAAAAATTGTTGTAAATGTTACTATGCTCCACGCGGGCATAGCGTAAAAGAAGAATCTTAAACTTTCAAGATGCCCTGTTTGGGCAAATGCCAGAAGCATGGAGTTCCAGGAAACCAGATCTGGCCGTTGGATCGCGTGGAACAATCTGGACGCTTCATCCAGCTGGCCGTTCCTGCCGTACAGGTGAAGCAGCGAGTTGTACGATACGAGGTCGTGCTGGGGCATCTCGTCGAAGAGGGCGCGCGCGTCGCGGAGATTATCGTCGCGCGCGAATGCCGCGAGCATGATGTTCCAGGAGAAGATGTTCTTGGGATCGATCGAGTCGAAAATCTCCCTCCTCGCGTCGATCGGGCTCGCCATCTTGGCGTAATTCTGGAGGACACGATTGGCGAGGAGAGTGTAGGATCTGGATTCTAGGGCATTGGCATTGCGCTGGAGGAGACGATGGACGTGGCGCGCTTGGGAGGGAGTGACGCACGACTGGATGAGGTCTTGGAAATGCGCTTCCATATAAAGATCTGGGGTTCGAATCCTTTGCTTTTGGCACTAGGGCATGGCTTTTGGAGGGTTTGCGATTGAGCGTGGGAGCTGCGACTAGGTATGGATTTCCCGGCTCGTGATTTCGATTCGATGCCAATGCGCTTGTGCCAGGCGAGGACGAGGGCGCCGCGCTAATCCAGCTATGGCCGTCCACTTCAAGTTCCGGAGCGCTGTGGCATACGATTCGATCAGCCTCGATGACCTACACATCTCGGTGCGAAATCTCAAGCAGCGGATTGTGGAGCACAAGAATCTCGCGAGCAACAGAACCATAGATTTCGACCTTGTCATTACAGATTCCCAGACTGGAGAAGGTTTGCGATTCAATCCATTCTTTGGTCTTCTCTCGTACTGACGAGAATGTGTCTTTTGTAGAATATCGAGATGAGAACTCTCTTGTTCCAAGGAACACGAGTGTCATCATCAAGCGTGTTCCCGCTGTTAGATCTAAACAAGTTTTACAAGCTTTTGACCCGTGAGTGGACTTTTTCTTTTCTTCATTCTTCTAGTGCGCCGCTAATTATTCGATGCAGGCCCAAAGTGCCTCCCAATTCAAGTGCTACTGCTCCTGTAGCTCGTCCACCTGTTGTAAGTTTCAGACTGGCTTCTGAGTCCTTTTCAGTAATCTGGATGATCCTTTTTTTCTGTCAGAAATCCGATGTCGAACCGGACGACTTTGGGATGGATCTCTTTGCAACTCCAGCGCCTGTGCCTGCTGCCAAGGCGGAGGAGGATGCCAAAATAGTGGAAATGGTTTCGAAGTCAACTTTGGAGTGGCAAAGGTGATCTTTTCTCGGTCGCTTTTCTGTTTTATTTGATGTAGTGATTTTGTTCAGGTTTGAAAATCCGTCTTTTGTTCCCCGTGGAGGAGGAAAAGGCAGAGGTAGCCTGTGCTTGCTAATTTGCGCTTAGTTTACTCACATTGGTTGTTTCAGGTCGTGGCTCAGGAGGTCCTCCTGCTGGATATGTTTGTCATCGTTGTGGTCAGCCAGGTAAGAAGTTGTTCGTTACGCTCATTCGGAGTTTCTTAGTTGATTGTATTCAGGCCATTTTATACAACAGTGTCCAACAAATGGTGATCCGAATTACGACATCAAGAAAGTGAGGCTCCCAGTTGGTATTCCAAGGACACGCTTGAGACTCGACCAAGAAGGTTCATATGTGCTACCCGACGGTTCAGTGGCGATGATGCAACCGGACGAGTACGTGATTTATTTGGAATGACTATTTCTCGTGCTGACACTTTGCTACAGAAATTTGTTTGCGAAAGAGGCGAATGCTTTACTCTCCGTAAAGCCAACGACAGAGGCACCTTCGGAACTTCGATGTCCACTTTGTCGCTCGACATTTAAAGACGCTGTGATGATTCCTTGTTGCCAATACAGTTTTTGCGATAAGTGTAAGCCCCATCCAAAATTTCCTTGTTTGATGGTGCCAACTGTTTCTGTGCGTTTCTTCAGGTATAAGACAGAACCTCATGTTGAAGGGACAATGCCCTCAGTGTGGTTCAGCGAGATTCAAAAATGATGACTTGCTGCCAAACATTGCTTTACGGCAGGCTATTGACAAATTTATGCAGTCGCAAACGCTTTCGACTACCGGGGATCAAGGTGTAGCAATACCTGGTAAGCGTTTATACTTTAGAAAAGGCTTCTTATTGTTGGATCATGCTATGCAGATGGGGACTCTACCGCGCAACACGTCATTTCTCTGTCAGAGTCGAAGCACTCTGCTGATGATAACGTTGAGGCCGGTAAAGCAAGGGAAGCCTCGTCAGGTGTAGTCAATGCAGAGAGTAGTGTGGCTAACAAGACGGATGCAAATTCACATCCTGTAATACCGAAGGATGCCTCTGGAAGTCTCAACCCGGAAGGCAACGAGGCACTTAGAGACCTTGGAGATGGGGGAAAAACTTCTGAGCCCTTTGTTCATAAGGGCGCAGATGAGATAGCTCTGGAGTCTGAGGTTAGCAAAGGTGTGTCTTTCAAACTTTGGGAAGTTAATCCTCAGCTGCACTTCTTGGAGCCTCCGGTTCTCGTTCTCGTTCCCTTTGCTTCTGTTTCCTACATTTTAGATAGGTAGATTTGAGCTGTCGCGTGACTTCTCGAGTTTTTCGAAGTCGACCGCAACAGGTTTATGTTCTAAGTCGGTTCCTGGTTTGGCTGCCTACTCAGGTGAACAAGAACTATTGAATGGTTGCGACTAACATTTTTGTTGTTTGGCTATCTCAGGCAAGAAAAAGAAGAAGCGGGCTCGTGGTATGAATTCGGGTAAGTGCTTCTCTTCATTTTGCTTTTGTTGTTGGAATGTTTGCTCACTTTAGTATTTTGCTATAGTGGATGGAGGCGGTGTGGACGCTAGTGGCAAGGTAGTTTAGCCACTTGCTGATCTTTGGGTTTCGTACTTACGTTTCATATATGGCAGGGCGAGCGTTTTTGTTATCAGTGTGGCGAGGCTGGCCATCTTGCGAAAGACTGCGTTGAAAATGCTGGAGCATATCCACCACATCCTGGCATGTTTCCGCCAGGCGAGTCTGACTATCTCTTTCCGTGACGATCTTGTCTTAACGCTTGTAGTCTATCAGGTGGAGCTTTTCCAATGGGGCCATACGGTCCGGATATGTTTTGGCCTGGACCGCCTGTACCACCGTTTCTCCCAGGCTACGCCGATGGAATGTATGGCCCTGGCCTTGGACCTGTGCCACCACCTGGAGCGTATCAGATCCCTCCTTGCGTGCCACCTCCGTACGCAAGTATTCCTCCCATGCATTGGTACGTTCCTTTCTTTCTGGAATAGAAAGAATCTAACGTCTAATTTGTTGAACAGGTTCGGTGATCATCCCGGTATGATGGGTGGCGACATGCCGCTGAGCAGGGAGGACTTTATGAAACTCAAGGAAGAAGAACACAACCGACGATCTAGAAATGACCACAGGTATGTATATGTATTTACTGTGTCGGGTTTTAGAAACACGGTTGTGGTGCTCGCAGAGGTGACTGGTCCCAAAGCAGCACTCGTGGAAGATCACCTCCACAAGACTCGAGACGTGGAAGGTCACCTCCAAAAGACTCGAGACACGGCCGTCCTTCCGAAAGCCGAGACCGCAGGAATGGCAGTGTGGAGAGGCATCACAAAAAGCCCGAGGCCGACTACGATTCCACGAGGAACTACTCTGACAGAGAGAGGTCTGACAGGGAGAGAACCTCGGCCAAGCAGTACAACAAGGAGCGGGACTACGAAAGTGCCCGGCGCTATGCAGACGAGCAGCGTCACAAGGAAGAGCGGCGCAGCAAATTCAGCTCTAAACCGGAAGAGGCACCACCACCAGCGTCAAGTCGACGATCCCAGGAGAAAGACAGCAAGAGAAGCGACCAGCCACACACTAGCAGATCATCCGAGAGCGCCAGGAACAAGCAGCACGAGAAGACGTCTAAACCACCGTCCGAGAAGACGTCCGAGAGCTCGAGGAGCAAGCACTACAGCGAGAGGGAGGCCGAGATCACGAGCACGGACGAGAAGAGAAAGGAGGAGAGCAGGAAACGAAGGAACAGATCGCGGGAGATCGAGGAGGAGAAGACCCGGAGCTCTTACGATGACAAGAAGCCCCGGGAAGATCGAAGCAGCAGGAGCTATCTACCTTCGCGAGATCATCACTCGGAGGATCACCACTCTCGTCAATCGGAGAGCTCTCGCAGTAGCAGGCATCACCACTCGGAAGCTAGCGACGATCTCGCTCGGTGGCGACCAGATCACTACGAGGAGGATCGATACAGGCATACCAGCAGTAGTGGACGACACCACCATCGGCGATAAGCTCTTTTCCAAGTTCCGGAAGAGCGAAGAACAAAAGTTCTCTATTTAACTAGGTCCCATTTAATTTGAAAGAAATGTATTCCATTTCGCCCTAATCACTTTGAGTGGGAGCTATGGCGCTTGCGACGTTCTTGCTTGTCTTGTCGGCGATCGCCGGGATTTCATCGCTCGAGGATGCGTTTCTCCGCGAGATTTCGACGGCGCGGCCTCGGCACCAGGCCGAGCAGATGATCCGGGCTATGAATTTGCTGCCGCATGTCGACGATTCCGCGGAGGATTCTTCTCCGGAGCTGGAAATGTCGGTGGAACGTCTTGTGGAGCGCCGGGTTGAGCTGGGAATCAAGGGCGATTCCGAGTCCGAGGTCACGGTGGAGGATCTTGGACACCATGCGGGATATTTCAAGCTGGAGGGCACGCACTCCGCGAGGTAAAGCGATTTCTTTCCATCTCTTGCGCGCGATGAGAGAATACGCATGGCAGGATGTTCTACTTCTTCTTTGAGTCGCGACGGAATCGATCGAAGGACCCTCTTGTCCTTTGGATGACCGGCGGCCCGGGCTGTGGCAGCGAGGTCGCTCTCTTTTATGAGAATGGGCCGTTTCACATCGCCAAGAATCTATCTCTCTACTGGAACAAGTATGGCTGGGACAAGGTGAGCTACTTGATAGAGAACTGGGTTTCTGTCTCGTTTCGGTAGAGAATGTGGTTTCTTTTCGGCGATCTCATGCTGCTTTTTTGCCAGGTTTCCAACATCATCTTTGTCGATCAACCAATTGGAACGGGATTTAGCTATAGCAGTGACGTTCGAGATATCAGGCACGATGAGAAAGGCGTGAGCAAGGATATGTATGATTTTCTCGAGGTACTTTCACCACTTTTTTTTTCTCTTCGTCTACTATTTATGTTTCCTTCTCTGTCATGAACAGGCATTCTTCAAGAAGCATCCCGAGTATGCTGACCGGGATTTCTATGTCACCGGAGAATCTTACGCTGGCCATTATATCCCCGCTGTTGCAACTAACATCCACGATCACAACAAGAAGAAAGATGGCATCACCATCAACCTCAAGGTCGGTCGTGTGGAACATTTAGTACGTTATCGTGGATCGGGTACTTTTAATTGTTGCAGGGCGTGGCAATCGGGAATGGGCTTACACAGCCGGAGATCCAGTACGAGGCTTATGGTGACTACGCGTTGGAGATGAAACTCATCAATGAGGACCAATACAAGAAGATCAGCAAGATTTATCCGGTTTGTAGCGTGGCTGTCAAGCTCTGCGGTGAGTTTGTCACTCTGGGAATGAAACGATGGCTTATAATGTGCGTTTTGCAGGAGAGAAGGGGACTGTGACTTGCCTTGCAGCTTTGCTTATCTGCCAGACGATTTTTCAGTCCATCTTATCTATAGCTGGTAACATAAACGTAAGCATCTGTTCGGTTCTGGAAATGTCATCTATGGTTTTAACGTTTCCCTTCGCAGTACTACGACATAAGGAAGCCATGCGTGGGCCAACTTTGCTACGACTTCTCGGCCATGGAGGAGTTCCTCAACCAAGATTCCACCCGAGTCGCCTTGGGTGTGAGGAACCGCACCTTCGTCTCATGCAACCCCGTGGTCTACGAAGCTATGCTCGTCGACTGGATGCGAAACCTGGAAGTGGGAATCCCAGCTCTTCTGGAAGATGGCATCAAGCTGCTCGTGTACGCAGGCGAATACGATCTCATTTGCAACTGGCTCGGTAAGCTACCATTTCACTCATGAACAGCCTCGTCGATAAGTTCGTTTCTAAAATGCAGGAAACTCTCGCTGGGTCACTGCCATGGATTGGTCCGGCCAGCAATCTTACGCGGAGGCATCGTGGGAGGATTTTAGCGTGGATGGCGAGACGGCAGGCTCGGTCTCTGGCTATGGTCCCTTGACCTTCCTCAAGGTATGTTTCTACAAACATCTGGTTCGTTTTCTAGTTCTTTTGCTTAGTAGTTCTTTAGATGATAGAACTCTAGTTCTATAGTTCTAGTTCTTTAGATGATAGAACTCTAGTTCAATAGTTCTAGAGTGTTCTAGAGTGAGTTTTCTTTGACTTGGCAAGTTCTGAAGAACTTTTCCTCAGGTCCATGACGCGGGGCATATGGTGCCGATGGATCAACCAAAGAACTCGCTGGAAATGATCTCGCGATGGATGAAAGGAGATTCGCTTGCTAGGGGAAAAGAAGAGATGGCCATAGACGAGGAGGCTTTCTTGGTAGAGACCTTTTGAGAAGAACGTAGCGAACCTGGCGTGAAGAACAGAGTCCCCTGTTTTAATCAAAGGAGGCGTTTGGAGTTCGATTCCTTGAGTCTAGTGTAGGGTTTGGGGAAACGCAGCGTGTTGGAAGAGGAGAGGCGCGAATCGATCAATGCTCCAGGGGTTCACGAGCGCTGCCCAGGGATTCGCGAGATTTACCAGTGGCGCCTCATGTCTGCCAAGATCGTGAGCGCTGCCAAGCAAGCTGAGTTACTCAAGGAGCAGGGAAATCTCTACTTCAAGAAGGAGCGCCTCTCAGCTGCGATCGATGCCTACACCGAGGTACGCTGCGCTGCTCTTGATCGGGAAATCGCTCCAGTGGATCGGTATTTCGCGTGTGTTCCAGGCGATTACGCTGTGCCCGGACGTTCCAGTCTACTGGACCAATCGCGCGCTGTGCTATCAGAGAAAGGGGTAGAGTTTTTTCTTCTCTTTGTTTCTAGTGAGGAAGCGATTGTTTTGGCAGTGACTGGGAGAGAGTAGAGGCTGATTGCTCGAAAGCATTGGAGCTTGACAAGGCTTCGGTCAAGGTTGGTGAGTAGCTTTAGCGTTCTAGAAAGCTTCAAATCTACTGTGTTGTGGGATTCCAGGCTCATTACATGCTGGGACTGGCCTTGCTGAATAGCCAACACTATGCCGAAGCTATCAAGCAACTCGAGAAGGTAGAACGCAAAGAACATCCTTTTCCACTTCTTTTGAAGATTTTCTTCTTTTCGTTTCTCTCTCGCAGGCTCTTGACTTGGGGGGAGGTGCCAATCCCGCGGCTTACATGGTCGAGCAGATCTGGCAGGAGCTTTCAAAGGCGAGGTACACGCAATGGGAAGTCGCGACCGCCGCAAGGCGGGCAAAGCAAAAGGAGATAAGGTACTGTGCGGTGTGATTCGTGGCCGGTTTACGAGTCAGATGGATCCATTTATCAGAGAAATGTGTGAAGTCGCAGCCAAACGCGAGTACGATGAGGCGGTAGCCGCGAGAGCAGCGGCCGAGACTCCAATGGAAGACGACGACATTGTTGAGAGTGACGAGAGCGAATGGAAGGCCATCTCTAGATTGCGTGAAATCTATCAAGAAAAGCTTCGCACCATCGCTGATATTTTCAACAAAGCTGCAGAATCAGATATCCCATCCGAGGTACATACATTTTCGTTTTCTAAGATCAATCCAACACGCGTTTTCTCTTTTTCACTTTTAGATTCCAGAGCACCTATGCTGCAAGATCACCATGGACGTGTTTAGAGATCCCGTGATCACGCCCAGTGGAGTGAGCTACGAAAGAGCCGTCCTCTTGGAGCACCTGAGAAAGGTGAGAAGAAACTCCTCTCTTTTCTTTCTCTGAAAAAGTTCTTCACAGGTTGGCAAATTCGATCCATGGACAAGAGCTCCCTTGGAGCCGGAGCAAATAGTCTCAAACCTGGCGCTCAAGGAAGCAGTGCAAGCGTATATGTTAGATCATGGCTGGGCTTACAAGCCTTACTATTAAACTCCATTGTTTAATAGTGGGGTTTAGGGTTTATAGCAACACATCCACTGCGCGTCCAAGGCTGTGTTTCACTGTTATGGCGCGCTTGGGGACGAGGATTTAAGAACCCAGAAAAATGGCAACAAAAACGATGACAATCGGATCCAGTATGCCAAACGCATAGAGTCGATGGCTATCAAGTATAGGCCTAAGAGATTCATCAAGTTCTCGATGGCTAGCTGGTTCTCGTAGCGCGCAGGAAAACTTTGTTTGCAAGTTTTTCACCTTTGGGATACGAGGGATGGTTTGCATAATGAAGTTTGGAACTCCTTGCTCCACGGCATGCTGTGGACGAAGGCGGTTAACATTCTCAGTGTCATCCCCGGACTCGTCGAGTCTGAACAAGCTTGTCCTTCCAAACGTCCCCGAAAGTGAATTTCCGTTCTCTCAGCAACAAGAGCATTGGCTCTCTCAGCGGCAAGGTTGCCACTTGAGAGCTCCCAAGTTCACAGAGGAGGGCCAACAGAATCCTCACGAGTAATGACATGAGCAGAGTGGCTGAGGGAACCTATGTTGTTTCCTACCGGTGGAATGGTCAGGATCTTAAAGCGGAACATGGTACTCTGAAGCTCTGTGAAGGGCTTCTGCACATCATGTGTGGCAATAAGATCATCTCTGAGGCTCCGGACTCTCCATGAACGTGAAATCAACATGTGCATGAAATTGGAAGAGTAGTTTCACCCAACGGTTTCCCAAACATGAGGTTTTTCTCTCACTAATTTCGATCGATGGTGGTTTTGTGTAGGCACTTATTCAAGCGAGATTATCTTCGCTTTGTATGCTGCGATTGGGGCCTTAAAAACTGTCCTTATAGTTTCATCGAATCCATTGATCATCCATTGAGCCCGGAAGATCTCCACATTTCCAGATCTCTTGCAGGTTTTCTGATTTTCTTGGCTGGATTCTTGCTTACAAAATTCCCTTGTCAATTGAATTTAAGCAGGTTGGTCTTGCATATGGAACTAGCAGGGATTTTGATGAGGGAAAACGTTGGTGCTCTTCACTTAGTTGAAGTAAGCTTTAACAAAATTGTTATTATGTAAAGTCGTTCACACATGGACATTAAGAATGAAACAGATTAACAAATGAAAAGTTATTAGTGGAAGTTTTTCTGCCACCCAGGCACCCGAGCTCCAGAGCTCACCCAACTGTTAGAGATTCTCAGTGGTCAATGAGCTTGGTGTGCACAACAAGTGAAACATTGTGACTTTTGTTGGAAAAGCCAGTCAAAAAGTGTTTAAAAGTTTCTTTTTAGCGAAGTGAGATCCATGCTCTAGGAAAGCCTACGGAATTTAAAGGTGGCAATTTTCCTCTTCGAGATTACAAAACACCTGTTCAGATCATGGCTCATCCCTCAATAGTGGCATGCAAAGCAGAAAGCTCCAAACCCTCTACTTGTAGCCATGCTGCACCCGATATTCATACGTTAGCTTTGGCTGGTCGTGCTTGTAGCCCCGCATGAGCGCCGAATAGAAGCCACGGAGAAGGAAAATAACCTGGCAATCGCAGGTTGCTGGGCTCACCAAGAAGGAGAACTTGAAGCCTGGCCCATCATAAATCTCGCGCAGCGCCGTCACTTCGTCGACTTCCTCCTGCGAGAAGCCGCTGCTCCTGTCAGGGGGCCATTCCTCGCCTCTCACGCACCAGTATAAACGGTTCCCACGTTCATCCATGGGCCCGAAGGTGCCCTTGGGAAGCGTGGCTGCCGAGTGATCTCCGTTGGTAGGGCAATACCTCTTCCTGCATCTGTCGGCCATCGGAACCTTGGGGACCGTGGCCTGCGCCGCCATAGCCGGAAAACCCTAAACGAAGGGCGTGATCTAACGACTGGGATTAATCGGCACGAAAGTCATTTCCTATTTTCTACGAGTATCCCGTCCTGGAATCCTGCGCCAAGTTCGGTGTCTGTGCAAAAAATGTGCTGCACTCCGTGATTTCACTTCTTTTTCCTTTTCTTTGAACTTGCTTGAGCTTTCGTGCTGCTCGAATCGCGTTGCGCCTTGGTGTTATTTGGAGCAGTTCAGCTCTTTGCGAAGCGCTTAGAGGAAGTTTCTTGTAGGGATTTCCTTTCTCCACCCATTCTTCCCAATCCCGACTCTGGTTTTTTTGTTTTTTTTTTTGTTTTTCTTTCCTGCCCAGGATAGACAAGAGCGTGATGGAGCATTTGTAGAACCGCAACAATGGAGCTCAAGAACAATAATTTGGGCAATGGAGCTCACGAATGTTGTAGCGTTGGAGATTTTGTTTCGCTGGATGAAATCTAGCTCCCTTGGATCACCCTTGGCCTCGAGTACACATTTAGAACCGTGATGGAATGGAAGGTTTCTCCAACCACCGAGTCATAGAACCTTGGGCAGTTAACTCGTGAAGACCAGCTCGAATCTTCATAACGAACATTTTAGAGACGTTGTTTTGATTGGTACTTATCCTTCGATTTATAGGGGCTTCTCAGCTCAGCGCATTTCAAGTTTCTTAGATCTAGAGGAGAGGGTGTAAGGGCGCTGCTGAGATGGAGCACAGGTACAGCAGCTGCCACTGCTCCTTCACAGCAGTGGAAAGCTTTGCCATGGCACTGGAGGTTAATGGCTGGCCGTGATCACGGAGCAAAAGCGGTTGTTTGCTGAGGTCTTTTTTTTCATTTAGCTCGTCATATTCACTTGAGCACTAGCTTGATAGCATCCTCGACCATCCCAGGCCTACAAAACCCAGCAATATCGTGTGGTGATGGCGTTTGGAACATTTAAGAAGATAAACAAGAAAACAAATAAGAAGATAAATAAGAAAACAATACAGTTTTTCCACATGACAATACAATCATAGAAACAAGAGAATGAGAATATAACAATGGCTTAAATCATGTAGTAGTATGGGTATAAAACTCAATTTTCCCCTTCCTAAAAAATATCATCCAAATTATAACCAAAACTTAAAAATACTTTCATCCTTAATTTCCCATAAAATAGTTATTCCACTGAATTAACATCTGAATTGTCTTGTAGCATATTTTCACCATCCTTTGAGTAAAAACATCAGCTAAACCAACATTCCTAACATCAATTTCTAAGATTTAAATGATAGGACTGATCCATGACATCACTAGAGTGTAAACATATTTTAAACTTGATCACATGGAACAGTGGATGAATTTTCAAAATAGTGAGCAAGTTTAATTAAGTGTAAACAAGATCTTTGAAGTCCCCTGAAGACAACTTAGCACTACCACCTTTTTTCAAAGACTTGACAACTTAAAGAAAATCTTATCACCTCCATCAAGTTGGCAAAGTTGAACATAGGCAACCTCAAGAACAAGACAAGAAGTTGGCTAATGAGTATTGTTGTTATCAAATTTCTCTTGCATATCCTCAAGGAAATCATAGGCAAGAGACATTTGAATGGAACTTAAACTCAAACCTACAGGAAACTTTGGTTCATAGCACCATGATATGAGATATGCTAATAGCAGATTATTAAACTTTATTTTGAGGAAATTAAAGTAAAGGTAAGTATCTTTCCCATACAAGTCAAGTTTTCTATAAAATAGATCAACATATCTTCCTTCAATCTGCCCATTTGCTTGTGCATGCTCACCACTACTCATGCTTAATTTAGTCTCTAACTTTTCAAAGATTTCCAAATTGAAGTTTTCTAAGAAGCTGCTACACAATAGATCACGCTAGTGGTCTAGTGCCCATTCAAGTTCAGATTTGGGGCATTCTCTTTATTGTAGCTCTGACTCTAGCAGTGAGTGCCAAATCCTTTCATCCCACTCTTCCACTGCCATCGCCCAGATGAGCTCTTCTACCAAGTCTAGCTCACCCCTCCCTTTGACACCGATCCAAGCACCACCCTAGCTGCGTGCGGATCTTAAATGGTTCTAGCATAGAGAAAGAAACATAGAAAAAATAATCCCCAGCAAGCATTTCATAATCTTTAAGTCTCCATGAGTAAATTGATTTTTAAAGCCTTATAAATTTTTTAAATAAACATCATTTACCAATTAAACACTAAAGTGAAAAGTAGAGTGCTGGTGGTGTCCGTAGAGCCTTGGCTGGAGGTGGAAGTTTCAGCCCTAGCTCACCAGCAAACTTGGTGGCGTTATTTGTGCCCCATGTTTTCTCTTGCTTGCTATTACTATTCTTTTCCCATCCATTGCTAATGCACCAAACATGACAACTATAAGTCCAACTAGAACCCTAAACTCATACTCCAAAAGCTGCATAGGAATAAAAGCTTTTATTCCTCTAACAATTCAGCCAAGACTTCAGCTAGCAACCTAATCCACTCTTGCCCACAATGTGGGCACACTGTACTCACTTGCTGCTCACTAGATAACCTTGTTTGTTCCGCACGTCGCCACTCGAATACACCGCGTCACCACATCAGTTCTACGCTGTGCTCCATTGTCCTACCTCTCCGACTCACGCCAAGCTCCCCTTGTCATTCTCCTCTCTTCCCTAACTTCCTTCTGCCAACTCCCAGAATATCCTCTTTTCGAATATTCTCTAGAATCTCGTCACTTCTCCATTCCACGACTCGCCAACTCTTCAAATATTAGAAAAACAAAAGAAAATGCCATACCTTGCCAATATTTTATCACTGACACTGGAGGAAGGCGATCACCCTCCAGCTTTGCAGCAGAGCAGCAACATTATTACCAATTTGAGTCCATTCCTAGCTGCTAACTTTCTCCCGGATCTCTGCCACCACCAGTCTCGTCAGCAGCAGCCCTACCACCAGCGCCGCCACCATCAGCGTGTAGAAAACTTTGTCCCAGCCGCTGGTGGAGAGATATCCTGTCAACACTGGCCAGATTGCCTCCCCAGCGATCCACACCCATCAATGATCGCAGTCACTGTTGCCAGAGCTCTCACGTCGCCCTTGAGTGAGCTGTGAGTTCCCAGGGCCATTGATGAGCATCCCTATGATCATCATTAGGGCGATGCTCGATGCCATCGACGTTGATCTATAACGGTAGTCATGGGAGCTTGCTTAAGTTTTGAGTAAATTTGATAAACTTCGATGGCTCCAAAGTTTAAAGTCCCCCAACTTTTTCGTTCAAGTTTTCTTCAACTTGTTTTCTGACTTGACAAGGGTAGTCAATGGTGATAGCATTTGCA